GACGAAAACAATAAATAAAATTTAAGACGAAAAATGTATCAAAATTAAAAAATAAACAAAGACTTAAAAACAATAATAAAACAGGTACAAGATAAGTGAACCAGTAGACGGTCTAAAATTGGTCCTCAAAATATTCAGTCACACTATAGTAGGCTTTCTTTAATAATAGCTCCTTTACAGCCAATTTAAATATTTTTAGGGATTCTAGGGATCTTAAGCTAATAGGCAAATGGTTATACATTTTTTTACCAGTGTAAATCAAAGAATTCCTCACAAGTGCAGTATGAGGTATAGGTAGAGGTATAGTGCCTATTTGACGCGTATTATAATGAGACGCGCTCGTCTCTCTTCCGAACTTCCTAAACATTAAACAGACAGTCTCCAAAATAAATATACCTGCCAGGGTCAGAATGTTATTTTGAATAAACAAGGGTTTACAAGATTCCCTAGCCCCAACCCTGCACATATACCTGACAGCCCTTTTCTGCAGAACAAAAACAGAATTTATCAGGAAATGGCTCGAATTACCCCAGAAGCAGATTCCATATCTTAAATGGGACTCAATAAGTGCGAAGTAAACCGATTTTGTCATACCTAAATTTAGTTCCCTTGATACAACCCTTACCGCAAAGCACCCCGAGGCCAATTTGTTACACAGGTTTATTATGTTGTTCCTGAAAGACAACCTATTATCTATATTTATACCCAAGAATTTTGGCCAATTCCTCAGAACTCTTGCTGTGCCACAATATTGTGGTATCATCAGCGAACACTGTAAATTTACCTCTGATGTTAAGGGAGGTCATATCATTGATATAAATCAGAAACAAAATGGGTCCCAAAACTGAACCCTGAGGCACTCCCGCTTCTATACCGCACTTGTCCGAATTGGCACCATGTAGCCTAACATGCTGGTTCCTGCCCGAAAGATAAGACCCAAACCAACTCAACGAAGTACCCCTGAAACCATACCGTCCAAGCTTCTGCAACAGTATTCCATGATCCACACAGTCAAAGGCTTTTGATAGATCACAAAAGACTGCCGCAGCCGCCTCTTTCTCGTTAAGCTGGAAGTACAGATCCTCAAGAAATGCAAAAACTGCATCACCAGTGCCCACACCACTCTGAAACCCAAACTGAGCCAAACTCAACAGTTTATTCTTATGTAGGAAAGACACAACTCTGTTTTTAACTAGCCTTTCGATAACCTTACCAATTGTGGGTAACAATGAGATGGGTCTGAAATTGGAGGGCTCAGAAGTATCCCCACCCTTATAAATTGGTATCACAACCGCTTCCTTCAATGAACTCGGGAAAAAACCGAGAAAAAAAGAATGGTTTATGGCATCAACCAAAGCATCAAGTGCAGACCTTGGCAACCCCTGCAGGAGTTTGATAGAGATGCCATCATATCCAGCTGCATACTTACTCTTAATATCCTTAAAGGTCTGCTCAATTTCCCTCAAGTCCGTAGGTGCTAGAAAAAAAGACTGAACAACACTAACATTTTGTAGAAAGTCCAATGGATTGCACCGAGGAACAATACCACTTGCAAGCTTCCGAGCAATGGAGCAGTAAAATTTATTCAACTCATTAGGCGTTACGTCAGTCCGGGCCTCAATCCTACTATGCTTTCCTCTTAGTTGATTAACAATTTTCCAACTCTCTCTTTGCCCATTCTGAGAATTGACTATGCGATTTTCAAAATAAGTTCTTTTGGCTAGTTTCAACGTTTTACGATAAAGTGACCTATATCTATTAAAATATGACACAAAAAAACCACAGTCTATAAAATATTTACGTATATAATGTAAAGCCCGAAGATTCCTGCCAGACCTTCTTATTCCCCCAGTAATCCATGGTTTATGCCTCCTGTTTCTAATCCTCACAACCGGAAATGAACGTTCAAAGACATCAGTCAACAAGACATGGAACCTGCTCAAGGGATCCTCAGTACGAAAAGTACCCAACCAGTCCACAGTCAGGCAGCATTGGTAAAACTTATTAAAATTTCTCCCTGAAAAGATCCTACCTCGCTCCTCCGACCGCGGAGCTTTCCGGCCACAAACTGGTAAGCTACAAAGCACAGCCTCGTGATCAGAGAGGCCCGCGCTCACCACATTACAGAAGACATCATCATCCAAACTGGTACAAACATAATCCAAAACAGAAGCAGAATCATTTGTGATTCTAGTTGGCGAATTAACATGCATCTTAAGATTAAATGATTTTAACAAATGCTTCAATGCCAGAGTACATGAAGAATCTTCACTGTCATAGTCAATGTTCAAATCCCCCGTCAAGACAACACTAAATTGAGGACAGAGATTCGACAAAAGAAACTCCAACCTCTCCAAAAATACACTCCCACTACATTGGGGCGGACGATATACAGAAACTAAAAACATATTCAATTTTTTACACTTACAAACAGACAATTCAAACTCTTTCTCAACAATCAAATCTTGAAACCTTAGGCTATTCTCAAATTCAAATTTCTTAGAAAAGTTTTTGTTTATTAAAATTAAGGTACCCCCATGAATAGAGTTCTTTCTACAATACACTGATACTAAACTATAATCTGGTATAGAGATAGGTTCCCCATCTTTGAGCCAATGCTCCGTTATTACTACAAAATCCGGAAAATTACAGCTCTCTAAAAACACCCAAAATTCATCAATTTTATTGCGAATCGATTGTATATTTAATAATAAGAGGGATATGCTATGAAAATGATCGTCTAGCCTAAAAAAGTACTTTTATTGATAGCCGTTGTGGCGAATATATCCTCAGCGATCAGATTATTTACACTTTCCCCCTTCCCGTTTTTGGCGGTAGGAACCTGTGATAAATTGAGTAGGTATACCTTCGTCATTGTTATTAGAGGCGTCAAGAAATATAGGACTAACCTGGACACCACCATCTACATTCTGCACCTGTTCCAGAGGATCCGACCAACGTAGGGATTCAAGATTTATTTGCCCATTATCAGACAAGATCACATTCCCACTGGCCACAGACACATTAACTATATTGAAGTGTAACGACTTAGTTACGTAGTTAACCAATAGTTTGCCAAAAGTGGAGCCATTGTGTCTGTGACCACGTCCTATCCTAAAGTTATCTATCACTCTAATTGAGACATTATTTCTAGTGGTGAAGTCACCAAGATAAGCATATATTCTTCTGTACATGGGGCTATTAAAAACACAATCATTATATGTAAAACACATTATTAAATTAGTGTATCGACCAATTGAAAAAAACTGCTTCAACAGTGAGGTGTTGTGAATTGAATTTACGTTAATGTGTAAGAATACAACAACCGAATCATTATGATTGTAATCACGTGTTAAGTTAAATATGTCCCTAGCAATTTCTTTCAATGGTGCATTCGTTTTGATGAGACTTGAAACCTCGTAAGGCAACCCACTAAGCTGGTTGTACAAAACCGTACTACAATTTTTCCCACTCTCGTCACCGAGAATTAAAACTTTACGGTGAAAGTCTTTATTTGGAGAGACAGGCTTTACCTCTGGAGCCGATCTCCCAACAGAAGCATTATCAGCATGATCCACCACTATTTGCGAACTCTTTAACCTCCTTGAAAGTTCATCTTCCAGTTCCACCACCCGTTTAGCATAGAACTCATTTTCTGCTGTGAGTACCTCTATACTGGTCATCAATTCTCCTCTTAATTCTTCCAAATTCCATATTTTATCCCGCAGTGTCAGATCTAAATGAGCAAATCCCAAAACATCTTCATCAGACTGAGCATATTGACTTATTGTTGGACGTAGAAAAGTGGGATTGAGTTCCGAATCATTCTGCTTGCCTTGAGCTTCAGATGGCGGATATTTTAGTTCGGACTCAGTCTGTGAATCGTCTTTCCTGAAAAATGGATCAGTTTGCACTGCTAATGAAACCATACCAAGTTTAGACTTGGCGTCTATTAGTGTCGCTGGTTTCATAGCAATCATCATTAGGCATATTAGGGTAGAAGTAATAATTGTTCTGGTCATAATATTGGTTATCGTATTGAGAATATTGATTGTCGTATTGAGAATATTGATTATCCTATTGATAATATTGATTTTCGTATGTATATTGTGGCAGTTGTTCTGTCTCACTATTGTAGACTTCTTCAAACACAAGCTTTGGGGGTTGGTAGTTACCTTGTGCATTTGAAGTACTAGGTAGAGGTTTGAACGTAGAGGTTTCTACACCTGACATTGGTTTTGGGACCGGAAATCGTGTTTGCTGATTTGGCCTGAAAACGTTAGATCTCGGTTTTCCAAATACTTGAGTATTCGTAAAGAATCTCTGAGGGGGTCTGTTGAAGTTGGGTCGCAAGTTGATAGGTTGTGATGGAAAACTCTGTCTATAAGCATAATGAGATGTTTGAGGATTGAAAGGAAAGTTTGAATTCACTGGAAAATTTTGGAATGTTTGTGAAAAATTGCTGTTTCTACAGTCTGATTACTGTAGACTCAAGACTCTTAAGCTGAACTGATTCCAAAGACTGCTGGTAAATTTCTAAACCGCTGTATTTATATTTTTCGTTCCTCCCAAAAATTTCGGTTCATGTTCATTCACTAACATGTTCCTCTTTTCTAAAAAATTTAATTATTTGTTCAAAACCGAATACTTATGTGGCAATTTTGTGGAATATCGGAGTCAACAGATTTTGTATAAGAATGTGAAGAGAAATAATCAAAGGATGCCGAGCTCGTGTCGGCCGAACTTTTCTTCTTATATTGGACATTCAATTTACATTGGATTATTTGATTTAATTTACATTATTTGATTATTCAAATGTACAGTTTTTGTATTTTAAGTCCTTGTAAATTACGGGTCTATTTTTCCTGAGTCATTACAAATCCCTCAATCATACTACTGTAGCATTCCAGAAAAATACAGGGACTTAATAAAACAATAATTTCACCAGCAAAACATCCTATAGCACAACAATGCAACCTTTATCAATTGTTGCCACTTTTGACAGTTAAATATATTTGTTTGTTAAAATGATGTTTTTTTTTCAAAAAGTTATATTGTACTATTGTATGTAAATCATGGAGGTCAGGGCTACTAAAAGAAATGTAAAAACACGTTCTAGATCATCAAGAAGCTCCTCCCCAAATCATACAATGATAAATGGTCGATTAATGGGTGAACATGCCTGTGATAATACCCTGCTACATATTCCAAAGCCTATTTTAGTAGGTAGGTAATTAAACTCTGGTTAATTATTAGGCTCTTCATTTGTACTTGGTACCTGCTCGAGAATCTGCTAAGAGCTGCTCTTTATGAGTTTTTTATATGGGTGTTATGGGGCAAGTTAACGCCGATCAGCTGCTGAGATCTGCTTGAAGCAGGAAAAGCAGTACAAATGAACAGCCTAAATTATTACAAAAAAAAAACCTGATGCTCTATTCCAGATAATAAGGGAAGGACTTCTAAACATAAACCAACAAAGAAAAATCCATTTATTCCTGAAGATTTTAGCTCGTTAGAATTTAGTTCGGAATCTTCGTGTTCCGACAATCTCGGTTCTGTATCGCAGCTCGAGCTATTTAATGGGTATTCAGACTGTAGTGATAGTCCAAAATCAAAAATTATGCCTGAAACAGCTCATTTAGACCAAATATTTTCTTTAGACAGTCGAACAGAATCTGGTAGATGCCGCTTTGTTAAAAAATGTTTGTCTTGCGGCGATTTAACGAGCAAAGCTTATTGGTACAGTGGAGAACCAAATATCAGTGAGAACCAATACTGAATTCTAGACCTAATAAACACAATATATGTGACTTATTTTAGATAAAAATGTGAAATTGAGTCACCGTGATGAGCTTAATTTAAAATCAGAATTTCCCACTCAAACATCATACATAAATTGGATTGAGAGTTGTAAAAATGTAGTCGCCCAGTGCTCTTTTGAACTAAAGCTCAAAAAATCTTTGTCAGATAGCGATTTAATGAACGAACTTTATAACATAAATAATTATAAAGTAAAGAAGTCTTCTTCGATGATAACTATCAACCGAAAATCTTCATATGGTCTTCCTGAGCTACTGAAAAGTGCTAAATCTATAACTGATGATGATGACACATGTAAGTGAAGTTTTATTTGCTGCTATATATTGGCAACATATTTTTTTAGGTATTGGACGTCAACGCGGAACAAAAATTTCACTAGAAATGGTTACCAGTATTCTTGAGGAAGAACTACGTTTTACTGAAAAAGAGTACAAAGATTGGCTGAGAAGGAGAAACTGGTTTGAGCTTTGTGACAGGCCGCCACGTAAATTATCATATTTCGAAGAGCTGAATAGGAAGAACTCGATAAAAATGCCAGAAAAACGCGTTCGTTCATCTTGCTCCATTTTTATGTGGACTGTTGGGCTAGCCGCTGGTTGTGTTACGATTTTATTTTTGTGGTTTGGCATCTTTTAAATAGTACGCAGCTAATAAATGTAAAAATAAATATAATGGTGTCAGTGGCGCACCCAGGTTTTTTATTTGGGGGGGGTTCATAATGATGAAGACTCGCCGCAGGCAGGTACTGTCGGAGGCAAAACCTTTTAGGAGTGGCATGCATGCACAAATTATCACCAAAAATTCGAAAAAAAAAAAAACACAAAAAATTTAATACAAAAAACTTAATCTTGTCTTCATGAGTAGATTTTACAAGTTGTTTCTTATTTCTATTAACGAAGTTTTGAGTTTTTTTACGTTGCACGTACGGGTACGGGAGGCATTTATTCATTCCGTACTTGTATATGGTACCTAACACAATCCCATTGGTCAGATTTTAAATTTAAACCAATTAAACTTCGAGTGCCATACGCGCGTAAAGTACGGAATGTGAATCAGTGCCATGTGTACTTACAGAATGTCATACCTAGTTATTGCAGCAGAAAATTTTGTTGAGCTGAAAACGAGCTGAGCTGAGCCGTCAATTATTCTTCAACTGCGTATCTATTTTGAACTGCAGTAAATACTGTATCTCAAATTAAGTGCTAGAGCTAGGATGGCGTATTAAATTTCCAATTTTTTTAAGGAATTGCGAATGTAATAAATAAAGGTAAGTTTAACTAAATAGGTTCTAAATGACTATTACTCTATCACCTTCCAAAATATATGCATGGTCCTACCAAATACCCTGTATAAAAAGGGCAAATTAAACTACAATGCACACTGCTGCTGCTTGTCTAGAATTAAACTACATACCAAAGAGACAGAAGATATTTTATCACCTAAAGAATACATTGAACGTTTTAACCAAGAACTAGAAAATTCCAACGAAAATATTGACTACATGTATAATAGTAAATCAAAAACTGAGGTACAGATTGAGTTACTCAACATTGTTAATCAACCCCAATTTGCAACCACTTAAGAATAGAGGAGTTATATTATAAATCCCCATGTTATTATTATACAAATAATTTCCCTTCTCAATTTCAAACATAAGCATACACCACTGTAAAATCCCACCAGTGGCATTATTCTTGACTTTACCTAGGTAGAAAATTTGACATTGTTGACAGTTAATGCACTGTTTAATTGTCAACACAGTCAAATTTTCTCTAGAGAGAAAGTCAAGAATAAGGCCTCTGATTATAAAGTTGCTGAATAAGGCATATTCAGTCATAGTCATACCAAGGTTGCACCAATATAGTTGCAGCGTCGGCAATATTTTAATACATATGAAAGCTCTCCCTCCTTTCTTTTTTTAGATTTCACTATAGCAATTAGAATCAAGATTCTTTTGTTTTCAGGCTTTTGCCGCAGCAATTAGAGTTTGGTATTTTTTGTTGTTACTTCTTAGTTTTCAATAAAATAAATAGTTTTTAAAAACAAGATTGACTGAACGAAAAATATAATTCGCACATACGAGATTATTATCTAGTGGCAAAATAAATGTCATCAATAAAGAAAATAAAAGCAATTAGGTATTCAGTTCAAACATGTAATGTAAAATTAATTTTACAAAATTTTCTAGTCTATTATTATTATCACAGCATAATGCCTCAAAACTTCTCGTCCTGCGTATACAAACTCTCAGCGAAAACTATATCGCGTTTAATAGCAGCCGAAGCTTCCTCCATTTTCGTCCTTAAGGTTGGATTTCCAATGATTTTTGCCGCATCGCGTACGTCCATTATCGTTTCGTTCAATTGCTGAATGCACCTCACTATTATGCCTTCTTGGATGTCCGTCAGTTTCATTAATTCGGCGAAAGGTTCGGCGTTAGCCCATCTATAGACCACGTGGACTAATCCAAAGTTGAGATCCTGTTGAAATTCATCAGTTTGGATGCACAGTTCTAATTCCATGTTGGCGATTTTTTGGTGGACTTTTTTTATTTCTTTTATACCCTGCAATTGCTATAATTAACTTTGATTATGTTTAATAATGAACTTACCCTTTTCAATCTGGGAGTTAATTCCTCCTCAAATTCAAGTTCTTCTCCGCGCAATTTCATTCTAAACACCAATGAAGATAACAGCGCTGCCACCTCAGCGGCTTGTAAATCAATAAAAATATCGTCCACCACTAGTTCTGTAATAAGCAGTTCGTTCATGCCCATGGAACAGGCAACGTTGCCTTTCAGTTTTACAGTATTTTCGGCGTCTACGTATCCGAGTTTGCGTAAAAGTTCGATTCTGTTTTGGTAGTCTGGATATAGAGTTAAACTGGCATTCGATAGTTTGAATTCCAAGTCGTTCTTTTTTTGTTCTAGGAATTTTCGTTCAAAAACTGTGGCAAACTGAAAAAAAAAAAACAGTTATTTATAATATGTAATTATAACAACTGCAAAATTAATAGTTATTTTTTCAACAAGAAAATAAATTATTAGTTAAGAAATGTAGACATATAAAACAGAATCTACAAACAAAATAATTTGCAAAAAAACCATGGTAGTGATATTTACAGAGAATGTTAATACTCCATAAGTGAAACAAGTGAAAGATAAGTAGTTGTAGAAATACATAACATACAAATTTTTACCTGTTCTTCAAAATTCGGTATTTGAGTGCTGGGCAAGTGATCAATCAATTTATCCTTCAAATCGTACATTTTTTGTAAATCGTAATACACATGTTGCTCGTTGACTTTCAAATCTATAATAAAATGTTGAAATTCCAATTTGCTTTTATTTTCGTTGGCCATCATCGTCAATTTTTGCAATTCTTGCACCGCCTGGGCGCAAGTTTGGCCTGGAGGATCGTATTTGAATCTTTCCTGTTGCCTCTTTTCCCAATCGGATTCTACTAGTTTCACGTCCAGTTTTATGGTTTTGGAAGAAATTTCGTAAATATCCGTTCCTGATATTGTTATAACTTCGTGGCTTGGATTGTCCAGGGGCATGAAGAGTTTGTCTTGAGCTAAAGCCAACATTTGATACCAAAGAGGCTCTTTTTCTTTGCTATCTTTGTTTGTGTTCTGGTGTGAAAGCACTAAGACGCGGTATCCTGCAGGTTTTTTGGATAAAATCAATGCTAATTTGTTTGTGTGTCTTTTATGAGTAATCACCACAACAGCGCCAGGTGTTAGAAGTTTTTGAACTTTTGAATAATTTATTAGTTGAGGCTGCAAGAGGATTAAATTATGCAATAAAAATTGGGGGATAAAATTGATTTTTTTACCATTAGCTGATCTCTGGTAGCTAAATACGCACTAGCGCAATTGAAAAATTTAACCAGAGGTTGCAAGTAACTGCTTAACTGTTGCTTATAAAGATTTGCCAGTTGTTCTTCAGCTTGCTGTAATTCTAGTCTTAAATCCACTACTTTTTTCTGGTAGTCGGCTTCACCAAAACTTTTTGACATCATCAGTTCTACTGTGAGGCTTTCTACTCTCAAAAGACTGAGTACCTAAAAAAAGTTTAAATTATGAGGAAATGAAATTTTCCTGAAGCAGTCAAGAGGAATCAAAAAATCAGGGGAAAACAACCAGATTGGTGGCGCAAAGTAATTTCTAATTAGTCCTCAAAATTACTAGAAATCAAATAGGAGATTTATGAGGGCCACTTCATTCAAGTTAGTATTGAGTAAATAAAATTGCCCTTATGAGCTCACTGATTCTCATTGCCATAAATAACTTTGAAAATATCAAATTTACCGCATAATATGAAATGAAGAAACTAAACAAGAATTTATTTTAAAGATTTAAAATTTGACAACCTATAACTTACCATTCCGTATGTTAGTCTGAATTGACTGACTAATTTGTTGGGTTTGCCAGTCATCATCTCCTTTAATTCTGTTTCTGGTGGGACGTATAATTTGCAAAGTATCAGTACAGTACCTTTTTCGTCTTTGCCTCTCCTTCCAGCTCGACCTTTGAGAAATATTAAATCATTGAAAAAACAAGCTATACCTGCAGTAAAATGCAGTTTTTTTTTGGTAATATATGTAGTACTGGTTCTTTTGAGCTTAGAATAATAAAAGGTGTTTGATGATGAATGATGAAATTAAATGTATAAACTTAATTAATTCTTAGTGTGTTGTCCACTCACCAGCCATTTGAATATATTCTGCGGGTAAAAGATTCCTCAACTCCAAACCGTCGTGTTTCTTGACAGAGTCAAATATGACAGTCCTTGTAGGCATATTAACACCCATAGCAAAAGTTTCTGTAGCGAATAATACCTAAAAATAAAATAAATTAGAGTTTACATATGAAAACTCGGTTCAAATTCATAATAAAGAATATTATTTGTTTGAAAACTGTATGTATATAAAACGGCTCTGTGTCATTTGCGCGACAACCGTTTGCGCGAGGGAGAAAAGCGCGATACAAAAAGTGCGACGGACAAAAGCGCGACGGAACAAAAACGCGACAGGACAAAAGCGCGATGGACACAAACGCGACTGGATAAAAAAGCGAGGAACAAAAGCGCGAGGGACAGAAGCGCGACGGAACAAAAACGCGAAGAGCAAAAGCGCGACGGAACAAAAACGCGAGGGACAAAAACGTTGTTGAAATGGCTGTCAACAAATAAAGGACCCCAGCGAGGAGTTCAAAATATAAGCAAGTTAATTCTCGATTGTTAAATTTAGTCCAAGAATACCCTTTCTCCAACGTCCAAAATCACCTTAAAGCAGTAGCTTTAAACTTAACCATTTAAACTTAGCATTGCATAATTTGTATTTTTAACTAATTTATTTTGTTTCTTTTTTTAATAAAGTTTATCATGCTGTCCTAATTAGAACTATAGAATAAGTGATGAACGAATTGAATCAATTATAATCAAGAAAACGCAGACTTACTCAATCTAAACCCAAACTAACCCGTCCGCCTAGTGCGAGCTAGTCCTCGTAAGTTAGCATTTCATTCCAAACTTACTCAAACTAACCCAAACTAACCCGTCCGCCTATTGTGATCTAGTCCTCGTAAGTTATCATTTTATTGCAGACTTACTTAATCTAACCCAAACTAACCCGTCCGCCTAGTGCGATCTAGTCCTCGTAAGTTAGCATTTTATTGCAAACTTACTCAAACTAACCCAAACTAACCCGTCCGCCTAGTGCGATCTATTCCTCGTAAGTTAGCATTTTATTGCAGACTTACTCAAACTAACCCGTCCGCCTAATGCGATCTAGTCCTCGTAAGTTAGCATTTTATTTAAAAAAACTGTCAATCTTGTTTTTCAAATAAAATGCTAACTTACGAGGACAAGATCGCACTAGGGGAACGGGTTAGTTTGGGTTAGTTTGAGTAGTCTGCATTTTTTTGATGTCGCTGTTTTAAATCTCATTCTTTACATATGTCGCTCTTCTGCAATGTCGCTGTTTCAAGTAGGTATCGCGCTTTCGAGTGTCGCTTTTTTGATATGTCGCTACTTTTTTCACATGTCGCTGTTTTGAATGTCGCTATTTTAATAAAGTCGCTGTTTTGAATATCGCTATTTTGATGTATCGCTTTAAAAATATGTCGCCTTTTTAATGTCACTATTTCAAATATCGCTCTTTTGAACCGGAGCCACTGAGAATGTCTTAATGTCTTGTATTTTGGAAAGTTGAGCGTTCTCATCCAATCGCGCTATATTCCAGTCGCGTTTTTGTTCCTCGCGCTTTTGTCCCACGCGCTTTTATCCAGTCGCGTTTTTGTCCATTGCTCTTCATTCTAGTCGCGTTTTTGTTCTGTCGCGCTTTTGTCCCTCGCGTTTTTGTTCCGTCGCGCTTTTGTCTCTCGAATTTTTGTCCCTCGCACTTTTGTTCAGTCGCGTTTTTGTTCCACGCGCTTCTGTTCAGTCGCGTTTTTGTTCCGTCGCGTTTTTGTCCCTCGAGTTTTTGTCTCTCGCTTTTCTGTTCAGTCGCGTTCTTGTTCTGTCGCGCTTTTGTACCTCGCGTTTTTGTCCCTCGCGCTTTTATCCAGTCGCGTTTTTGTTCCGTCGTGGTTTTGTCCCTCGCGCTTTTCGTATCGCGCTTTTCTCCCTCGCGCAAATGTCTGTCGCGCAAATGACACGGAGCCATATAAAACAGATTGTTTTCTCTTGATATTTCAATAGAGGGGCCAGTTTCCGGGTTTTAATGCAAATTTGAACTAAAAACACAAATGGATCTGTATGACTATTTGCTTCAATTTAGGTTTTTCTATTGTTGAGCCCAAAGTTTAGTTTGGAAATTACCTACTTAAAATCCTAACTGCCGTAACTACACAGTCAATGAAATTATACATAAATATAAATAAATATTTGGCTGACTTTGGTTGTGGATCAGGTCCTAGTTATCTGATAGAGAACAGCAGGTTTCTCTCACACAGATTCAGTGCTTCCTCCATAGTATTTTACTTGGGTCCAATGCTGTTACTTTTTTACCTTTGTTTATTGATAACGTAGCTGAATTTTATTTTGGGACTGGATGCTCGTCCGATAATCGGAATGATAGTGTTTTTGTTTCTATTCCGATGATCGGGCTACCAGTTTCTCTTGTTATTATTCCGCAAAATAATTTAAGAATTTACCTGTTACTTAGGGTATTATTTTCGGACTATCAGGATTTACTCATATTATTCTGAAAATTATTTATGGTTTGAAATAGGTTAGAGGTTCCCTTATAATTATGTTAATACGGTGATACCTAGTTAGTTGATTTGTAAATATTAGTGCAAGTATTAGAGAATAGAATTAGAATTATTACAACACTATAGATTCAAAAAACGTTTTTCACCTAACAAAATTTGTACACCGATTAACAGCACTAACTGAGATATTTCCATGTATTAACAAAATCGAGAACAAAATATTTTCACATATTGCCAGGTATTCCCTAGTATTATCACATATTCCCAGGTATTGCCATGCTATTGACAGACTAAAATCAAATATTTGTCTTGCCAGAATTGTAGGTATTGACATATCCACAGGTATTTACATGTTATTAACGGGTATCAACCAATGACATTAACGTATATTTGCCTAGATATCTACAGTATTGCATTGTATTGACACTCTTGACATATTATTTACCTGGTATTGACCCAAGAATCGTAGTATTGACCTATATTAACCAGTGATTTGTACACCGATTAACAAGGTGAAAAACCCCTTACGTTAGAAACAAGGGAAAAATTTCAATTCTTATAATGAAGTAGAGTCTTACAAGAAAGTTGAAAACGAGTTACTAATATCCCTATATAAAAGAGATGCTAAAAAATTGCAAACAATTACAAAAAGTTGTCCCAAAAAATACCAACAGGCTAAGGCAGAATTGGTATACTACTCGGTATACTACCTATCAGAATATACTTGCCATCAAGGTGGTAAAAGATTTAAATCACTTAGCAAAGGTATGCAAAAAGCAAGGTCAGTACAGTACCTATACATAATTATACAGTAAAAACAATACTTCTTGAATCATAATATCAGTCAAAGATACATAATTGTATTTTCGGAAGGTGTGAAAAAAAATTAGGAGAGAGCTGATATTTTCAGGATTGTTCTTAGTGTAAAAACACCGGAGTCAGAAACTTTCCTCTTCCGCACCCTTGCCTATAGGGGTTGTGTCTCAACATTTTGCTGCAATGAAATTTTTAGTCTCTAATTAGGCAATCCAACAACCTGTCAAACTCCAACTACCGAACCAACTACTTTTTTCTAAAAATATAAAAATGTTCGGAATAATATGAGTAAATGCTATTAGTCCGAAAATAATAAGTGAACATTTTGCGGAACTATAACAAAATAAACTAGTAACCCGATAATCGGAATAGAAACAAAAATACTATTATTCCGATTATCGGACGAGCATCCAGTCCCTTTTATTTTTATATATTTATCAACAGGTAATTTCCCAATTGACGTGAGAGAAATACTCAGCAAACAAATTTACAATTTCGCCACCAGTTGAAGACCTGACATTATTGTAAGTACATTTCAGAAGGAATATCACAGTTTTTTTTTACTGTTAACGAACTTCCAAAAGTTTTTAACATTAACTCTCAAGGAAGATTTAGGTTGGGCTGTATAGCATTGATAACACTGATTCTTAATGGTTTTACATTTAGCTCTTAATGCAGAAAATAACTTATTAAAGTCCAATTGAAACGTATTTTTTGTGTGTTTTTTTTTTTCGATTATTGCTTCCTTCAAGTCCTGAGAAAACCAGGAAGGAAAATTTTTGGCAGAGTACTTTTTTAGAGGAAGAAAAAGGTCGATAGTTAAGTACAAAATATCATAAAATACATTGATCATATCGTCCAGGGATTTATTTATGAACAAAGTGTCCCAAGTGAAACAGGAGAGAAAGTCACACACTACTGTAATGTTCATGGCATGGAAGTCTCTATAAAAACCTGTGATCCCATGATTGTTAAAATGGTGATGTTCACACTTAATACTTAAAATTAGTGGTACAGAGAGTTGTAGCTTCCTTGTCCTGCAAAAACACCAGATCCAGGATAGATCCGTTCTTGTTTCTAAGTGAGTTTACCTGAGATAGGTTATGGTATGAGCATAAAAATGATAGTACTTGGAGGGACTCGTTTTCGTTCCGAGAAGTCGTTGGCAGAGGGACAGCCCCAGAGCCCAAATCAACTATTGACCATTGTCCATTTGGAAGATTAATATCGTCCAAAATACACACTTTACTATCTAGGCATGTTTCCGTCAGTTTTTCCAGGCTGTTAGCAAACTGTGCATACTTTTCAAAGGCACTCCGAGATGGGAAATAAGCAGTTGCAGAAATGAAATCGATCTGTTCAATGTTACTATTTGCTTCCAGGACTCTACTTGTGATATTCTTTCGAACTGCTATCAGTATTCCACACCCTCTTGAGAATACGCTTGTTTCGACAGATCTGTCCCTCCTGTAAATATTGAAATTAAGCATTTGAAGTTTAGCATCCTGAAAGTGTTCCGTCAACCAAGTTTCATTGAAAACCAAGATATGGTAATCAGAGTAAGAAACATTCTCAAAAAGCAAGTGAAGCTTGGTGCGTAAACCTGTAACATTTTGGAAATAGACAAGTAAATTGGATGAGTTAAAATCTGATTTTTGAATCATTATTATAGTTATGTATTTTATTTTGATAGTATTGTTGTTTTACGCCTGAAACCAGGATTTTATGTTTTAGTTTTTCAGCTCTGTACAGGTCGCCCAGTTCCGGAAGCTCCCTTCTACAATGGGGTGTTCATTTGTACTGCTTTTCTTGCTTCAAGCAGATCTCAGCAGCAGATCGGTGTTCACTTGTCCCATATACAGGGTGTTCGTAAATATCATGTACAAACGAAAGAGGGTTATTCTTTGGTTTATTTTCTATTTTTTAATTTCTAATAAACATAGGTCCGCAAACGCTTCGTTTCCAATCTACAGGGTGTTGAAATTGTAATATATTTTTAGTTTTTTCTTATAGCTCCTGCAATTTTTGAGGGATTTAGATCAAATTCGGAATATAGGTTACGCAACAGAAGCTGGATGATTGCACATATCAAACGTTTTCCAGAATCTACAGCGTGATGTTTTTTCAGGGGTCATGCCTCCTTTTCTGCCCCTGAATTTTTCGCGGCGCGCCGCTGGTGGATTTTAAGAAACAGAATAATTTTTCGACTTTATTTAGAAACTTTTTGTTCTCTTGATTTTTTTTTCGCATCACCGACCCCTATCGAGAAAAAAATTAAAAAACAAATCTCTGTAATTAGCTAGATGAAACTAAAGTGACTCAATAAGCCTTTTCTACCTACAGTGGAAACAAAAGAGGTCCCGCAGCCATATTCTTGCTGATTTTCAATAGGAATCCAGAAGTAAGACACTTCCCGCCGCCATATTCTTGCTCATTTTCAATATGAATACATTAAAATTTGAACACCCTGTAGATCGGCGAGGAAGCGTTTGCGGACCTATATTTATTCCAAATTTTAGTCATAAAATAAACCAAAGAATCACCTCGTCCGTTTGTACATGATAATTAGGAACACCCTGTATAAGCTCATGAAAAGCAGCTCCTAGCAGATCTTCCTGATTTTTCGAGCACGTAGAGCAAGTGCAAATAATGAACAGCCTATAAGATAGAGACAATTTTCAAGGGACGATATCAAAGATATTCTTGATGACCTTCCTCTCGCAGTAACTAATAATATATAATTTGAACACAAGATGAAACTCCTTATAATTCCAGGAAACCGGGAATAATATGGAATATTTGATATATCGCTTCCAAAATAATTTAATTGCCACTAGGGGTTCCATTAACTAGCTTCCACGATTCCCAGACATTACACCGTTGGATTTTTTCTTTTGGGGACTTCTTAAGAATGAATTAAACTAGAAGATAATAATAATAAAATGATAAAATAATGATGAGTTGATGACCAACTTCGTGCCGAAATTTGAAAAAATATTTGATTTACCTATGTTAAATATTGTTTTGAAAGAAACTGTTCGTTAGTGTTATTTATGTCTACAAAATAAAGGTGAAATTTTTGAAAGTAATATTATGTATGTACAATATTGTTGAATAAAAAAAAATATATATGTTTTTCTATAAACGTGTTAAAAATGCAATTTTTAACACCCCTCCCGTAGCATTAAAGATGTTACTTTATCGCACTAGTGCCATAAAGTCTTTATAGCACTAGTGTTGAAAATGAAATATCAAATTTTGTAGAGCAAACGTCAAAAAAAGTTTGTAGTTTTAGTTATTTACATTATAGTCCAAGAAACGGAGATCTGAAAAGAGGGGTTACCTCAACATAATTAGAAGTTGAAATTTTTTTGGGGGGATCGGTTCATTTTAATATGCTAAACAACATAATAAGTTTGCGACCTTGTACTTCCATAGGGTTTTCAGTTAGGGGTGGTTTTTAGGGGTAATTTGCGGTTTATGGAGAACGCTGCACAAAGGGATGGTTCAATAGTAAAAAGTTTCAAATGAATGTTGTAGCTGAAGTTTTTTGCTATAAAAAACTCAGCGACAGCACCCCTCTATCTTCTATAGTTTTTTTTCTGCAGCTTCTTGAATAGTAGCATGTTTTTGTTCAAGGTCACTGAATCAACGTTTTGCCATTTTGCGCGCATTTGTTGCAGCAGCGGCCGAATGCATAATCCGATTTCAATTTTTCAAACACCACATTATTTCTAATGAAATGCACTCTCCAATGCTTTTTTGTTCGAATTTTTTGCTTGAAAATTAAGCGAGCACGGACTTGTCTAATGTGCGAAGAAGTTGTAAATTGCATCGAAAACTACCCCTTTCTTGCATTCACTCTAATTTCTAAACGGGGCCAAATATTTGGTGACAGTTTTCGACAATCGGCAGCCCATTTATTCCTCTCATAATGCCCCAGCGGATTTTTTTTTTCGTTAATCACTTAATGACTTATTGGCCTGAAAACGTCGCGCGGGATTTTTCAAAAAGTAAAAAATAATTAAAATTGTCGCATAGCGCAGAAATTTGGTACGATGGCCTTATTTATTGTTCTTACGAATATACTGCAATTTTAATTGCTTCACATGATATAAAATTGCAGTATAATCATGAGAACAATAAATAAAGCCATCGTACCAAATTTCAGCGCTATGCGACAATTTTAATTTTTTTTTACTTTTTGAAAAATCGCGCGCGACGTTTTCAGGCCAATAAGTCATTAAGTGATTAACGAAAAAAAAAATCCGCTGGGGCATTATGAGAGGAATAAATTGGCTGCCGATTGTCGAAAACTGTCACCAAATATTTGGCCCCGTTTAGAAATTAGAGTGAAGCAAGAAAGGGGTAGTTTTCGATGCAATTTACAACTTCCTCGCACATTAGACAAGTCCGTGCTCGCTTAATTTTCAAGCAAAAAATTCGAACAAAAAAGCATTGGAGAGTGCATTTCATTAGAAATAATGTGGTGTTTGAAAAATTGAAATCGGATTATGCATTCGGCCGCTGCTGCAACAAATGCGCGCAAAATGGCAAAACGTTGATTCAGTGACCCTGAACAAAAACATGCTGCTATTCAAGACGCTGCAGAAAAAAACCTATAGAAGATAGAGGGGTGCTGTCGCTGAGTTTTTTATAGCAAAAAGCTTCAGCTACAACATTAATTTGAAACTTTTTGCTATTGGACCATCCTTTTGAGCAGTGTTCTCCATAAACTGCAAATTAACCCTAAAAACCACCCCTAACTGAAAACCCTATGGAAGTACAAGGTCGCAAACTTAATATGTTATTAAGCACATGAAAATGAACCGATCCCCCCCAAAAAATGTTAACTTCTAATTATGTTGGGGTAAACTTCCTTTATTGCTTGGACTATTAATATTAATGGTTGTTTTGAACAACTGAGGGAGCTCGATTGGCCGCTTCATCTATATTTTTCAAGGGATCGATGCAACCCTCTTTTTCTTTTGGATCTTCTTGCACTACTGAGACTGACCACGACATACTTACAAGAAACTGACAAGACATTTCAAATTGTTTCAAATCACAGAACTTTCAAATTACCTGTAAAAAAAAAACAAGGTGCTGGTTGCTTGGCTTTATTGACAAATGTCCACTTCGATAATTTCATATAGGAAAGATGCTTCCAATAATTATTAATTGACGTGTCTCGTAATACCTGGTGTGCGCGCGCAACTCGTGGGTTGCAGGTGAGCATCCAATTAAAATCGAGTTTGTTACGGGCTTGCGTCATATTCGTATTCAGGGACGAGTTCAGAATTAATCGTTTCTTCTTTCTTTGTAACGTGTAATTCGACAAGGAGCAAACTAATACTTTAGGTATTACTTGAACTTATCCCAGTGTCGTTTAAGGTTATGTTAAATTATAGTTGACATATTTTCATTGTGCGATATTGCCAGATGAAACATTTATTAAAATAAAAGTGCCATGGATGTTAACATACACTTTAAAGCTCTTCTTTTGCCTGATTTAAGGCGTTGTAAAACACTTGACAATATATCACTTCTTTAATGTTATAATGTTCGATTTTTATTGTCTACATTTGTTCTGCAACAATACAATCTGGATGATATTTCATTTCATCACATCACTGAGTGTTGAAATGGGATTTAGAGTGCGTTCCGTGTCAGTGTTAAAATTAATTTATATTTTTAATTTTAAATATTTTGAATGAATCACAAAAAATCTTGTATGAAAAACGTCGCAAAATGGCCGGTTTTTTGCACATAATGTGTTGGACCACACTCATTTTACAACTTGTTACATAAATAGCTATTGTTACTGGTTATTGCCGTTTGTAGAAAAAATATTGTATGATATTTGCGGTAAAAGTATTTTTAAGGCACTTATGTGGATTGCAGCATGCAAACTTTCACATGCGGGCCCTAAAAATGTACTTTTAACACTTATATATCATATTCATAAATAATTATTTTAGAGCAAACTAGAGTCTAATGACTATTGGCATGGCTATCACTTAAGGGATATTTAATCTAAGTGGAGCTTCGAATGTGACTTTTGTTTCTGCAAGAGTCACATTCAAAGCTCCACTTGAATTAAATATCCCTTAAGTTATAGCGGTGCAAATAGCCATAAATACAACAATAAAATCAACAGTATAAGTGTGATATGTCGTTGGATTCAGGAGGGAAAGTAGAATCTATTAGGCATAAAATAATACATTTCGACTATTTAAAAAAACAAATTTGATGATGATGGCGAAGAAAAAAAATATCTGATCAAAAATCTAACATTATCGTTGATTTTGCGATATCATTCCAAATAGAGTCAGAAAAAAATAAAAAGACTTTGATAAAAACGAATTTGGCAAAATTCTTTGGATATCTTTGAAATCATGTGGAATTTTCGAAATATCCAAACATGAAACCACTGAGCGCAGTAATGCGCAACTTTTTCCTAATTTAACCAACCCTGTATCTCTTATGGTTACCGAGATCCCCGTAGAATGCATCCTTATCCGGAACACCCTGTATACAGAATATATCGCATGTCATGTGGAAAACTAAATAGTTCTACTGTACTCATAAATACGCTATTACCTTTATAAGTCCCTTCTGAAACAACATTTCCACAATTTCCTTGACTATAGGTAAAACGCCGCTATGATGCACCCCAATACCGCGGCTCAGAATATCCTTCATTTTAACAATTTGTGGAATTTCTCTGTCGGGTTCCTTCAGCGATCTAATGCATTTTTTAAAAAATTGTTCGATTTGGGATTTTTCTTTTTGAGTCGTCAAATCTAAGTTGGACAATATTTGTGAGTTAGTGTCGCATTTTTGTCTGGAAAATATAAACGCTACCACTGGTAGAAGTTCGAATTTACGCAAATGATCCACGAGACTTGTCCACAGGGTTTTTTCTTGTTGTTTGTTTAGGAAACGGATATTTTGGTCTTTGAGAGGTTCTAAAGCTGTTTTAGATTTGATATACCTAAAGGAAAAAATATTATGTTCAATACAAATTCATATATTGAATACAAACCCTTCGTTACGCCATTTATCCGAATCCATAATCAAAAATTTGTTGTTTCTACTACCACCCCATCTACCAGTATACAAATAGTGTTCCAAAGGTACTGGCCTCTTTGTAGTTGTAATTACATATACTTTTCTGGAATAAAGTAATTTGTTATAAAATAGTGATACGCTTAAATTAATTATATACCTTTTATGAGTGCTTCCCAACCAATCAGCGAACTCTATAGTATTTGGAACTGTGGCGCTCAATAAAACCACACAGACTTCCTTAGGAAGCATTATAAGTACTTGTTCCCATACATGACCTCTATCTCTGTCATTAATATAATGAACCTTGAAAAAAATTTCTGTGAACTTTTTTTATCTGCTGAAATTCTTGCCTTTCTCAGACAATAAGTTGATTCTTAAATGATCATACCTCATCAAAAATTACATATTCAATATCCCTAGTGATGTCACTGCCACAATAAAGCATAGACCTCAATATTTCCGTTGTCATAATTAAACAGGATGCTTTTTGGTTTATTTGAAAATCGCCAGTGATCAAACCTACATCATCGAATTCTTCTCTGAAAAAAAAAATCATTATTTGCTAAAATTAAACAACAAACAAATTAAACTTACTTAAAATCCCTATATTTCTGATTCGATAATGCTTTAATTGGTGACGTGTAAATCGTTCTAGTCATATGGTTTTGGGATAGCGCTATAGCATACTCTGCTACCACAGTTTTACCTAAAATAATAGTTGTTGAAAAGTAATACCGTTGAATATTGTCAACTTTATTATCTTCTAGAATCAACAATAGAAGATATAGAGTAATTTAAAAAAATTCTCACCTGCAGATGTATGAGCAGCCACAAAAACATGATTATGCTGTTCCAATTGCAATATGGCCAATTTTTGAAAGTTGTCAAGTTCAAATGGAAACTTCTTAGCCATATTGGGAATTTTTTTTTCGAAATCTACTACAGGCTGATTGGGATCCAGCAATACCGCCCAATCGCTACCTTGGAAAGGATTTGGTGGAGGCGCTGAGGAGAGATTCAATATACGAGGTTCTTTTGGAAGCACCTCTTCTTCTTCTGGTAATAATAATTGAGTTTCAGATTGAGATTGTTCTAAGGCGATTTCCTGTTTTTCAGTGTCCCATTCGCCTTCAAAATTATAATAAAAACAAGTTGACAATTTTATTAATGGAAACTATACTTAGAAAATCTTGTTCTTGATGAATTAGCTCCAATAAGTTGATAGTGTTTTGAGACATTTCCATTGAAGGCTTAGTTTGAGAAGCTTCATCGTCCCTTATTAAAGTCCGCCCATCCTCAGCAAAAGTCAAACCCCTACTAAAACCAGGAGGGATTGTTAGTAGTTCTAAAAGTACAAAAAATTTAAATATAAAACAATTTATAACAATATATGATTACCAACCAGACTTGTCTAATAACAAATTTCTCTTGGGCAAATCCAAAACGGGTTCCGGGAAACTACCAGGTTGAAATGGTATGTATGAAGAGCTGCCTCTAACTGAATCAGAGGGAGGAACAGGGGCTCGGGTAAATGACATTGAGTTTCTAGCGTCAGCTCCTACAGAATCGACAGGAACCTCTCGGAATTCTATTATTTTGCCTGTGTCCAGATCTCTTTGAACCTAGAAAGTAAAACAACTTTAATAAGAGTGGAAAGTGCACTTTACCGCACTTATTTGCAAGTTAAAAGTAGCAGTTTACCACACATGCAGTAAAGAAGACTTGGGTATTTATCTCGGTGTTTATAATAAAAAATCCCTTCTCTCCCAGAAATTTAAATGATGCCTTTTTTTGGATGAGTAGATGCTCAAAGGTATTATTTTGTACCTAACACGTGCGGAAAGTGCCTTTCGCGCACTTACCGCATTTGTTAGGTAAATAACTATTATAATGTATATTGTATCAAATGTCATTGAAGCTATTGTCTCAAGATAATAAAGCTTATTCTGAATTTGAATTTATTAGGAAATTTAAAGTGAGAAAAAAGAAACACCGCTTTTGAAAACTACAAAGTAAAATACTTGATTGAAGAATTATCAAATAGCTACGAGGTTGAAATTCCAAAGAAAAATAGTCCAAAAATAATAATTAATGTTGGTATACAAGAGGAACCAAATATTCAGTTTACCCACACTGTTTTCGATAAGAATTGTATTTATCGTAAAAATACACAAGAAAAACAAAAAACACAGCACACTACTTGTAGCAACAAAAGAAGGCCACAGCAGTAGATATTTTACATGTAAATATACAGAGTATTACTTCTCATATAATGGAGTTAAGTTATTTTATGCAGCAAAGAAGTCCATGGATTATGTGCGTTACTAAAACACGTCATATAACCATTGAAATAGAAGATCATGAAGTTAAAGTTCCAGGTATCTGGTATCTGACAGTATTTTGCCATTTCAACAGTAGGCATACAGGCGGAATTATTATTTATATAAAAAATTGTTTAAATTTTGAAGTTGTTTTTAATGAAGCTGTCGATAATCAATATTGAATGCTGGCTGTTAAATTTTGAGTAAAGAACAAGACTTTTTTTGTTGCGTCATGTTAACGTCGATTATTTAAAAAATGACAGACACCATAAGACTGAAAGAGATAATACATAATGCAGGATTCAAACAGGTGGTCTCTAAAGAAACTCGAATAACAAACAGATCTTCGACTCTAGGTAGGTACCAATGATTTTGGAGCACAGGAAACACCGAAGCTTTCCAGCAATAAGCGATCATGAAATTATGGGCACAAAAATACAAGTCCAAGGTACTGCTCAGGAAATTAAATCAGCATGATATCAATAATGTGATCTTGGAACTCAGAGATCAAATTGAAACGACTCATGCGTGGATGTAAACGTTTTTTATTCCAATCTTGTAGGCAGCATGTAGGAAGACAGAATCATCAAAACCTTTGAAGCTGGTACACTCTGATCTATGTGGACCAATGCAAGTGTAATCGCTTTGTGGCTCGAGGTACATATTTGTACTTCTGGATGATTATACTCACTAATTTTTTATTTTTTAGAAATTAAAGATTATTTTAAGAAATTTCCGAATTTTGTAGAAAATTAATCATGCTGATGATACTGCTATCTTGTTTACAGGATCTACCTGAGACCTAGGCATAGTTATAGATCAGTTCCTTAAATGGACTAAGTAATCACATAGAATACTTAACAAAAAGAATTCATAAATTAGTTTACAAATTCTACTCACTGAGAGATTTTTTAACCACTAAATTGCTAGTAATGATTTAAAAAGCATGAGTAGAATGTAAAATCACTTTGAAGGTATGGTATATTGTTGTACAGAATTTTGAGAACATGGAACTGGGTAACGCCTCTGCCAGTTTTATAGGTTAAAATGATAATGGTCAGCTCAGCTCTTGGAGTTGTTTCTCAGCAATTATAATTACCTTCATGGTTCGCCTGGGGCTCCATTAACTTATTTGATGCCTTTTGGCTTTTGCGTTTTGTTGGGTACCTACTGTAGGTTTTCTTGTTTTTTTTTTGTACATTGCATATACAGATGCTACAGTATCTAGGTGTATATATTTAACAGTGATGTGAAAAAAATCAAATAATCATCTACTCATATACATGAATGAATGAATGAATGAAAGAGTGGGCGGCCGCGACCGTAGTGCACATAGGTCTCCTGTGGTGGACCCGTCGTGCCCCACTGAGTTCTACCAGAGGCCTATGTCCTTAGAAAAGCCAATCAGGCACCCTGGCTTCATCCGTTTGACGTCATCGGGCAAGCAATACAACTTGCCCAGGTGCTTGAACCTCGCGCGCGTGAGTGCAGGGCACTCACCGATGACGTGGTCTGCCGTCTCCTCCTCCTCTATGCACCAACGGCATTCCGGGTCGTCCGTAATGCCCATGCCGTGGAGATGGCGTCTTAAGTGCCAGTGTCCGGTTAGGAGACCAATCACTAGCCGTATCTCGCGTCTGTTCAGGCGCAGTAGTTGTTTGGTGAGACAGGCAAAGGGCCCATCAATATGAGCCTTAGCCTGTCTCATGCCAGGTGCCTCCATCCATCTCCCAAGGAATCGCTCCGTGAGGAGACCCTTGAGGGACGTGACAGCCTCACATTTGGCTATGTCCAGCGTGGGCTCAGGACCCACAGGTGGCATCGACGATCCCTGTCTGGCAAGTAAATCAGCCTCGTCGCCCGAGTGACCGGGCACCCAGACGAGGCGGACCCGGCACTCACCAGTCTTCCCAGGACTTTTTTGCACTCCATTACAAGCTTAGAGCGCACAGTGTCAGCCATAATGGCTTTGATGGCGGCTCTGCTATCGGAGCAGATTGAAACGACTGCGCATTCCTGTGGCGCCGGTTTAACATTTCCCTACCACACTCCATTACAGCGAAAATTTCAGCCTGGAAGACAGAAGCGTGTTCCCCTAAAGAAAAGGATTTACTAATTCTAGGGGACCCTCCGCAAAAACCTGCCCCTGACCTGTTATCCATTCTGGAGCCATCCGTGTACCAGATAGCTCCACTATTCAGTACAGTTGGCTTGGAGCCGCCCAGCAATTCACTTCTTTCAGTGATATGGGCCTCCGAGCCTTTGCGATAAACAAGCTCCGGTCGCATGATATCGCTGCCCATCAAAAGGACAGGACATTTCTCTGCGGCCTGAGACCAAATTCTCGCGTGTCCGGTTTCGCCGGTGCGCATTTCGTCAAGGACGTGCAATCTATAGGCTGTCCTCATGACCTCGAACTGAATCACGAGGTTCAGGGGCGGGAGACCTAGGAGGGTCTCCAGGGCCCTTGTTGGGGCCGTACGCATGGACCCCGTTATGCTGAGGGAGGAAAGGCGCTGGACTCTGTCCAGTTGCGCCCGTATTTTGGCTTTCTCCGTGCAAGGCCACCAAATGATAGCCCCGTAAATGAGAAGAGGTTTAACTATAGAGTTATGAATCCAAGTACACACACAGTTGTACGGCAACATTGCGACATGCTAACGTCATAAATTTTGATGCCCCACATCCATTATTTTATTAATTTCCCTATATGCGAAAGAAGTCCCTCCTCGGACTGCTGCCTGCACTTGATTGGCGGCTATAAATAGAACATAGGAATGCGAAGGGTCAACGCAAGCCCAAAAGATTCTTTTAAAAAGAAGATTCTCTTCAGCGCTCCAAGTGACAGCATGTCATTTATTTTTTTAGGCGGTCCTTCGCTAACCTCACGAAAATTAAATCTACAGTCCTATTTTTCTCTAGCAAATAAGTATCTTAATAATAAACATATAAAAAATCTTGGAGTGCTTTATTTCATCAAGAGACCTTAGTGTTTCTTTGGACGCAGATCTTTTCTTCACTAATCATTTAAACAATGCAGTAAATAAAGCTTTTCATATGCTGGGTTTTATCAGAAGGACTACACAAGATTTCACCAATGTTACCACCTTAAAGACTTTATATTGTGCCCTAGTACGCCCTCATCTAGAATATGCCTCTTGCGTTTGGTCTCCCTTTTATGTTGTACATCCGAGATTCTCTACAGCTCATTGAACACAAATTTTTGAAACAAATTGCCTTTAAACTGAATATTTTGAATAATTATAATGATTCACAACTACTTTCTATGTTGAATATGGCCTCAATAACTATGCGTCACAAGAGGAGAGATCTTACAACCTTCTATAATATCCTACATGGGAAGGCTTAGACTCCCGAAATTCTTCACAAAATTAGCATTCATGTCCCTCCTAGAACCACCTGGTCGAATGACAGTTTTCATATTCGGATTCATCGGACTAATTACGGACGCAATACTTTTATTTCCCGAACAGCTAGACTTGCAAATGAGCACCATGAGATTGACCTTTTTGCCCCCTTGAGCATTTTCCTGAGTCAAGTTCGTCATACTTTTAGGTAGTTGTTAGCAAACTTTTATCATAAACTGCTAATCCCACCTCTTATAACTTTACTGTGCCTACTCATTATTATTTGATTTTTACCTAAATCTACTAGTTCAATCTACCTATCTAGCCTTACTCATTTCTCATCAAGTTGCAAGGCTGTTTGTTGTTGTTATTATTATTATTATTATTATATAATTTTAAGAGTGATTAACTTTATTTTTGTTACATTTGTTATGTAATTCTATATTGTTGAATTGAATGTTTAACATTTTGTAAGTGGCTCAGCCCGTTGATAAATAAATAAATAAATAAATAAGAGCAAATAATAGATTAATACCAGTGAAACATCATAGAGGCAAGCTTAGAAAAGCCTGAGCATCCGCCCAGTCATATTGAACACATTTTTCGAGCTACCTTCGCGCAGATTATATACCTACATAAAAAGCTCCAAAAGATGGAAAAGATCTCGGAAAAGATAGTACAATCACAGGAAACCAAACCATGTAATGGTAAATCAAAGATATAGAAATAGCTGTAAAGTGGTCAAAACATATCCATAAACTCTGATCACAATTTGTTAGTAGCCGAATTTAGGATAGAATGGAAGAAGCTAAAACTAAAACAACATACAATTACTTACGATAAGAGAAAAATGAATGAACCAGAGGTAATGGACATGCTAAGCAACGCTTTACTTGATGCGAAAAACAGCTCAGAATTTGAGGAAAAAATAGGTAAAATAGTCAAGGTACTAACAGTAAATGTAGATAAGAGGAAACCCTGGATGACTGAATGATGAATGGATGATCATATGAATGCATTGGAGTCTGAAACAGTGAAGTAGTTGGTAGATGAAATTAAATATTTAGGAATCTACCTCGGAATCTACTATAATTCAATAGCTTTTTGTAGGCACATGAAATCTATCATAAAAAAAATAGGGAAAAAGTTTGGGTTTTTTCAGGCGAATATCTGTGTACCTGTCTCCATGGGCCAAAAAACTTTTGTATAATTTGATTGTGATTCGTTACCTGTCAATTCCATCTGAAAGTTTCTTGGGTTTAGGGATAGGAAAGAAAACCAATTAGTGTTTTGGCAATGTTTCGTCTTTAATTAAGACCTTATCAAGCCCTACAAAGAAGAAACAATGAAAAAAATAGAATCATGGGCAAACGAAAATAAATTTAAATGATTTAATAAATATAAAAGAACAAGAAGGGTTATTTAAATGTTTTCCTTACTCAAACTTGAAGGTTTATCCTTGAGATGTCTTCACCAACATTCCAGCAAACTAGATTCATGTGCAACCAAAACATTAACTTGTAAAAAACAGCACATTTATTTTTTTTTCTCATTAATTTTGTTATTTCTATAATTATACTTATTTTTTATTTTGTTTTCTTGTGTTGCCTACCATTAGTACCATCTTGTTCAATCGTTGAATCGTTATACACTGAAAGATTTTATAATTTGTGTGATAATTCGAATTATTAAAGGTGATCATTCACATATGGTATTGTTGAAAATTAAGAGGTTACTAAAATTCGTTTTACATTTTTGTTTTAGACAAAATAAAAAATAACTATAATGATAGAAATAACAAAATTGATGAAAAAAAGAAATAAATGTGCCGTTTTTCACAAGTTAATGTTTTGGTTGCAGTGGTTGCACATAAACCTAGTTTGCTGGAATGTTGGTGACTCGGTTGCTGCTGAAGACATCTCAAGGATAAACCTTCAAGTCTAAGTAAGGAAAACATTTAAATTAAAAATAACTCTCTTTGTTCTTTTATATTTTTTAAATTATTTAAATTTATTGCGGTTTGCCCATGATTCTATTTTTTTCATTGTTTGTTCTTTGTAGGGCTTGATAAAGTCTTAATTAAAGATGAAACATTGTCGAAAGACTAATTAGTTTTCTTTCCTATTTCTAAACCCAAAAAACTTTTGTATAATACCATTGTCTTTCCTGATTTCAAGTATATTATAACTAGTATCATGTAACAAGGATAGCATAAAAAGGCTTCAAATTCAGCAAAAAAAAAGCTATGGGAATACTCCTAGGAAGTGATAGATATACTTCTATTTATTGTATGGCCTGTGATGGCTATCTGTGGAGCAGTGCGTTAAAAAGGCAAATTTCTTAATTTATAAAATAGAAAAGGGATTGCTACCAGAATACCTATATTTTTTTTTTTTTGAAAATAAGAAGTAATATTCACTCTTACAATGTCCGTACTAAATCAAACTATCATGTACCGGTGGTGAAAACAAAGAGACTGCAAAATACTCTTTTTTACGAGGGTGTTTGCCTTTTTAAAGCTCTGCCCAATGAAATTGGAAATGCACAATGCACCTGTTTGATGGGATGTTAAGTGGATATTTGACACAGATTTCTTGATTCCTAGTTATTTTTTGTTGCGATTTTTGTCATGACTGAAAGATCATTTAAAAAAAAAACTTACCCTGAGTGTAGTAGAAGATGGGGATCCCTCAAAATGTAGTAGTTCCAATGGTTCAGGTTCTCTAGGCCAAAACTGCTGATTTTTCTCATAATGATGAATGGGAAGGTTTTCTGGACAAAGTAAGTATTTTTCCAATTCATCCTTGATATCCGTAAATATGGGAGGAGGGTCGAAATCAGACATTTTTCGATTGAATAATAATTATAAAAAATTCGAGAAAATTGAAAATTTTTGAAAAAGTTAAACAAAAAAACTAGGTTAGGTTCATGGAGGGATGTGTTCGAAAACATGGTTGTTCGTGCGAGCGAAAGAACTTTTGTTCGCGGATCACATTTCGGAGCAAATCCGAACAAGAACCGAATTTCCGCGACGAATGTAGTTCATCCAAGGACGAATCATAGTTCGTCTTGTGACGTCATGAGTTTGAAAACTGGCTTGAAGTTGCGTCGATGCTTCCGGCGAACTACGTTTAATATGACTAGGGCTGCCATTTATGAAATTTGACAATTTTTACAAAAACCCCGGATTCTAACTCCTCAAACCCGGACACCACTAAAGGGTAGCCCACCTTAGGAGCCGCCGGAGACAGAAGATTTTTTTGGGTGCCACGCCCAAACAAGTTTATTTCAATCCTTCGAGAACCCCTCATTATTTTAACAAAAAAATAATTTTTTTGGGGTTTTTTATAGCTTTCACCGAGCTCCAAACATGACTAACGACACGTGAACGTGAAACTTGAGTAGCGCATACGCGGGCTAAATAAAACTGATGATGTCGATTGACGATTTCCATGATTCTTGTCAATTTCGCGGAGTTATCCGTGATTTTTTTCAAGATGCCGTAAAGCGTAAAACACGGATAACTTCAAAAAATTCCCCCGGGCGTCCCCGGACGCCTTTCAAACTAGGACAAATCCAGGGAAATCCGGACGGATGGTAGCCCTAAATATGACGTCATGAGTTTCTCGCGAGAACGTTTGTGTTCATGAAATCATGGAAGTAGTTCGTCGCGAAAATTCGGTTAAGAAGTTCAGAATATATTTCCGAAAACAATTTTGGAACAGGAAACGAGAACTTGAAACTGTGCGTGTTCCGATCAGAGATATGTAGGGTAGGGATGTTTTCGAATCTCTAGAACCGGTAAAACATGTTCAGAATCAATCCGGAACCAATTCTATTTACGCCAGAATTTAAAAAAAAGCAGAACGTCGGATAATTCAACCTAACCTTACTCTTTTCTTTTTTTGTTATGACATTTTGGTCCAAACACGTGAATTTGTTATGCCCCGAAAAAATTAACTTATTAAAATATAATACGAACTAATTTAAACAATTTATTTATTGATAAAGTAAGTAAAAACTCCATAATGACCGATATTAACATTGACACCGATAATTTTGAACCGAAATCGTCCCAAAAACGACGAAATATCTCGACTGGAGATTCAATGGAAGTCGATACCCACAATGGTATCGAAGGCAGAAGTAAAAATAGACCAGCGAAATCCAAAAGGCCTAAAACGCAATCTTTTTCGGAGACCAAAGACGATATGCGTAAAATACCAGTTCCGTCGCACAGGTATACTCCTCTAAAAGAAAATTGGTTGAAGATTTTTACGCCTATTGTTGAACATCTACAATTGCAAATAAGGTTTAATTTGAAGAGTAGGAATGTGGAAATAAAGGCTTGTGAAGAGACCAAAGATATTGCCAATTTACAAAAGGCTGCTGATTTTGTTAAGGTAACAAACAATACCAAAACTTAGCAAATAATAAGTAATTGCATAACAATTATTATAATCTTGTAGGCTTTTATCTATGGATTTGAAGTAGAAGACGCCCTAGCCCTACTCCGACTAGACGACCTTTTTGTTGAAACCTTCCAAATTAAAGATGTGAAAACATTGAAAGGCGATCACGAGTCTAGAGCGATAGGCCGCCTAGCTGGTAAAGGAGGCAGAACAAAATTCACTATAGAAAACGTCACCAAAACTAGAATAGTATTAGCGGATAGTAAAATACATATTCTAGGAAGTTTCCAGAACATACAACTGGCTAGGAGGGCTATTTGTAATCTAATTTTGGGATCGCCACCATCGAAAGTTTATGGACAGTTGAGAAGTGTCGCCTCAAGAGTCTCAGAGAGGATGTGATAGTTTGAAAAGAACAAAATATCCCTGTTCAATTTTTAAATAATATAAAAATACAAAGTTTTGTTGAAATATAGGATCCTGTGGTGAAAGAAATTTGTTTCTGTATTGAGTGTTAAAATGTTCATGTACCCCCCAATTAGAATACAGATTATAAAACAGTTCAGACTTTATTTTACAGCGAACTGTTATTTCGAACTTATGCATTCTGCACTGATTCTACTTGAACTGCGATCAAAGAACTTATATCACGCGAACAGTTCTGACCGACCCTGTTCTGTTCTGTATCCTCACCGAGAACGAATCTACTTGTCATTTTTTTTGACAATCAGCATCAGCTGATGGCCAAACTGTCAAACGCCCATTCCAACTTTTTTTATTTATTTTTGTTTGGATTTGAAAATTAACCTGGCGATAATTTAAAAATAAAACGAGTTTCTTTTTCTTTGTAGTTTGTAAGCAATGAAATAATTATTTAAGCCTCTAAATAAATTCAACCATGTTCAATCCAAAAAATAATCTGGATTGGGAAGCTAGCAACAGGCAGATGGTCGCCGAAGGCACCCAAGTACTGGAAAGAACTGGCGAAAGTATAGCCAGATCGCATCAAATTGCCATCGAAACTGAAAATATAGGTACCGAAGTGATATCGGAATTGGGAGAACAAAGAGAGGCCTTGTTAAGGACCAGAGGACGGCTGGAAGATGCGAATAGTCAACTGGACAGTGCCAAATCGATTATTACTAAAATGGGTCGGAATATTTTGTATAATAAGCTCATATTGATTATGATTATTGTTTTGGAAATTATTATATTGGCTACATTGACATATCTTAACTTTTTCAATAAAAAGTAGTGCCCTGTCTGTTGCTAACAAGATCAATGTTCCTACTCTTTAATACCTTTAAGTACAGAATAAGTCAACAAAAGGAATAGGTACTTATAAATACAGTAGAACCCTAGTTATCCAAGGTAACGTGGGGGGGTCCTTGTCTGATAAAGGAAAACTCGGAGAATTGGAATTTACATCTAGAGCTGAGATAATTGAGACTTGGATAATCTGGGTTCTACTGTATATCAGTTGTTAAATCCTAATTTTCATGTAGCCATTCATTTTCAAACCCAACTGAATTGTGATAATAAAATTGTATACATATTTAACTTAAGGCATTTTAACAATTTTTTACCCATTTTATTATTTAATCATAGTCATGTATAGAGTAGAAATCAAACGAGAAGAAGCCACACACGTTATCGTTTGTCTCACTTCATATGGGACGGACCCAGAGAAAAGGAAATCTGCTTTCTTTGTCAGCGCTAACAACAGTGGCTTCTTCTCGTTTGATTTTTTCTCTAATAATGTTCAATATAGAACATAATAATTATAAATGTTATATATTTATGTTATATATTTACTTGAATGATACTTTTTCAAATATTTGTGTTTATTGTTTTATTTAGACTAGAAATACATCCGCTATTATTTTATTTTTTGTCGACTTATTTGATTATTAAATATTTTTAGTTATCATTCTTTAACATAACATATGTACTTTTTTTTCCAAAGAAATACTCATTTTTGAAAATCGAATTTTTAAATTGAATGTTTACAAAAACTTCCCATAGAATTCGTTTCTCATTCAATTTAGAAGTTACTTGAAAACATTTATAATTCTACAGAACACTTTAGAACTTTTAATGCCTTTTGGAAAGTTCAAAACACTTAAAATTCAATTCACAATTTCCAAAAGCATTCTTTAGCGCTTTAGAACAATTTGGAAACTTCAGAACCATTTTAGAATGCTCCAAAACATTCAAACACCGATTTACAAGTTCCAAAAGCATTTCAAAACAATTCAGAAGTTTGAAACCCATTTTTAGGACTCTCCAAAACGCTCTAGAATCTCCAGAAACATTTTGAAAAGCGCCAGAATCTTTAGGATTCATGTTAAAAGTTACCTACAGAACGCCTTTCAGAAGGCGTTCAAGAGCGAATTTAAATTGCTGTAGAACTTTAAACCTTTATTAAGTATCCAAAACAGTTCAAATCCAAATCAGAATTTATAGGAGCAATTTAGAAACTTCAGAGTTAGGTATTTCAGAACAATTTAGGATTCAGTTTAGAACTGGAAATCTTTTAGAACTTTTGAGAACAAATTTTAGAACACTTCCGGGTTTCAATAGAGCTCTAAAATACTGGTTTGTTATGCCCTTGTTTATTGATACAGACATGAGCCCCTATACTCAGTTCAGAGCTATCGCAAGGTACTAGTTGACCTTTCTGTTCTGGTTATTGTGTATCCATTGACTTGGACTGGTCCGTCCCTGGCTGGTCCTTGCATATATTTGTTTAAATGAAAAATAAAATAACTAAATTAAACAAATGTTTGTCTTCATCAGTAAAAGTTTCCAAGCAGGGACGCAAGTATGGGGGGGAAGGACGTCCCCCCAACCAGTTTAACCACTTAGGATAGTTCGGATATCGGGTACAAATTGGGAGAATCGGTACACCTGAAAACATAAAGATTCACAGGGAAAATGAAAAACTATTCAAAAAAATGATAAAATTATGAAAAACAGCTTGAAAAAAAACGCTACTTGGCAGGGGAGGGGTTTTGGGGGTTGAAGAAAGTATTATTAGAAACCACTTCTGGAAATTATTAGAAATTAAAAATTATAATACAAAAATACTAACAATTTCAAAAAAATACATGCTTTTGACTTGTATTTTTCTAGTATGTTGATTTTACCAGTAGCGTTCCCAAAGGGGGGCGAGCGGTCCGTACGTGCGTCCCCCAAATCGACTCATTTACAACAAATTTTCCTACCTAAAATGTGAAGTCACGAAGGACATATTATATTATATTGGGACATTACAAAAAAACTCTAGAAATTTACCTTACGAAACCTATGTTTTAGCATATACCTACTTACTTTTTGACGCTCAAAATTTTATTCTTTTCATAAAAAGCATTTGACATTGGAATTTTACAAAATTTTTGCCTGCGGCGCAATTTTTTTTCTGATACCCCTATAGTCATGCAATGTTTCTTAATTTCAATAGCGAGAAAACCCCCTTATCTGAATTTTCTGGCTACGCACGCTATAGTTGGGATTTTTGAGAAAGACCAGTTGGGAGATTTTACCTACGCCACCCCCCCCAATAAAAAGTCTTCGGGACGTCCCTATTTCCGCCGGCGCTTGAGGATACTTCTACTTCTTGGCGTTTACCTACGTGCCGATATAAGTCGCACCAAATGAAACCAAATCTGGTAATCCTTTTCTTACGATTTACTCCTAAACTATGTTTTCTATCCTATTTCTTAACTATCTTATGTCAAACTTATGTCTAGACTAGCCTCTGTCTGCTTTTTTTTCTTGTCTCTAATTCTTTTCCATATATACATATTTTTTCGTACATTTCTCATTTTCTCAATAACTTTATATGCTTCAAACCATGTCGGCAGCTTCTCACTGTATCCAACCTCTCTTATTGGGATAACTACTTTCACTTTGTCTCCTATTTCAAAATGTAATTCTCTGTATCTCTCGTCGAATCGCTCCTTATCTTTTCCTTGCCTCTTATTAATATTTTCCACCGCTATAGCTCGTATCAAGAGTGCTTTTTCCCTGATCTGGAATGAGTCTCTTACTCTCTTATTCCTTCCTTAGCGTCCATAAGAGTTGCCTTTGCAAGTACTGCAGGTAGTATGGACTCTTTTGCGAAAGTTAGCATGAACCGACTGAATCGAGTTGTTTCCTGTTTATATGCAAATGTAATAAATGGTAGGTAGCTGCACCAGTCCGTCTGTTGTGTGTTGCAATACATCGATAACATATCCGCATCCGCTATAGTCTTATTCAATCTTTCTGTTAGGCCATTATAGCACAGCATGGGTGATATGCCGTCGTGAACTGTCTCCTTACTGCCACAATATTTCCTATTCCACGCTAGCTCTGACTGGAAGACTATCATTGTTTTTCCTTGGTTGCTTGTTGCTTCTTCTGAGCAGACCTAGTAATAATCAATGCCAATTTTGTCAAAAATCGTGCCTACTTTGTATTGGTTGATGGTTGTAAGAGGCCCGGGGTCTTTCTGTATTCTTGGGGATCAGGAGTTGACCGATGCCACGAATGTTGAGTACCTGGAGTTTTCCGCTCGCTCTAATCTCGTACTTCGATAATTAAAACTCGGTATTGCATAAAAATGTTTCATTTATTAAAATTATCGTGGAGGGGGAGACACTTAGCTAAGAATGTTGAGAGGCAACCCGACAGTTCAGAGTGAAGCTCGGAATCTGAATCTTATCCTAACAATACAGGGTGACTCACAGTAAATTTCTCTTTTCGAACGCGTCCTGTACATCCAACTTTATATTTGTGGAGGGGTTAGCGCTGGCAATTTACGGCGACTGCTTGCGGATTATCAGTAAACATGGAGCGGTGGTCGAACAAGCAACGCGCGTTTAGTGTCGAGGCGTTTTTTAAATCAAACGATTCCTATGTCGCGGCACGGCGACGTTTTTGTAACCGTTACAATATTCGGCGTATACGTGATACTCCGTCAAAAAATTTATTGAAATTATGGGTTCAAAGATTCAAACAAAGTGGTCCAATACCAAATTCGAAGCGTTTCGGCCAACAGAAGTTCATCAGAACGACAGAGAACATTGGGATTATGCGACGCGCTGCGACCCAAAATCCGAGGCGAAAACATGGTGGGACGCTTCTGATTTGCCAATCGCCACTGTACCACTTTGAATCTTTGAACCCACGATTTCAATACATTTTTTGACTTAGCGTCACGTATACGCCGGATATGTTTACGGTTACAAAAACGTCGCCGTGCCGCGACATAAGAATCATTCGATTTAAAAAACGCCTCAACCATAAACGCGCGTTGCTCGTTCGACCACTGCTCCATGTTCACTAATAATCCGCACGCAGTCGTCGCATATTGCCAGCGCTAACCTCCCCTCAAATATTAAGTTGGAAGTACAGGGCGCGTTCGAAAAAGGAAATTTACTCTCGAGTCACCCGCCTGTATTTTATTTAGGTGCTAAAATGTTACGAAACGTTTTTACAATCATAAACCCAAAATTAACCTAGAGGTTGTAATGGGCCCCTTGCATCAAATTTTTTTATTGCTGATTTCGATAGTCCATGAAAAATAAGTCAACATGACAACATGTGTTTTTTTCTTTTTCTTATCAGTCAAAAATTGACGAAGATACAACGCTTTGAAATGTCCTTCTGACGTCATAACTTATAATACGTTGTGACGTCGCATATGCTCAGTATATCTATATATAGAAAACTCAATAATTGTATAACTTTCGAAATAATCATATTTGGACAAAATTAAAAAACACGCATCGATTTTTTTTTCGATTTTCTGCAGTTAACAATAATCAATTTGATTTTTTATGCAAGTACCCTATTCTCGCCATCTGTATTATAAAAAAAGGCCTAGGAAGGTACCTACTATGTCTTTGGCGGCAAGAGTACTTCCCATGGGCTGTATTTGACTTAGTTTTTATATTTACAACAATTGGGGTTTCTGCAATAGAAGTACCGACTTTCGAGAAAGCATTCCGTCCCAGAAGAACCTGCTGCTGGATTCTATTTTACGAGTCGAGTAGAAATTCGTATCGAATTGTCAAAAAGCGATTACACGGAAAGTCTGGAGCTGTCGTATTCGATATCGAGACAAATCGACTCGACTCGTAAAATAGAATCCGGGGGCTGTTCTGTATTTTGTATGCTGTTTTGCTCAACTCTAAGTGGCCGCATATCGGTGACCAGTACATTCTGAGGCCTTTTGTGTGTTTTGTTTACTTTGTATAGTAGATCATTCTCGATTCTGAAATTTTTCGCTCTTCTCTTAGCTCCGATGTTAATATTTGAATCTTCCGGGTTTTCTATACTGCCTTCCTGTTCTGTCTCAACTCTGGGTTTCTTTTCTGTAATGAAATGAACTCATCATTTCCATTGTTCTTATCGTAAATATTGGTATATAGTTGTCCATGTTTGCTTTTCTGTGAATCGGGTTGCAAGACGGTTGCGGGACATGCAATCAGCATCTTTGTGGGTTGAGCCTTTTTTGTATTCAACCGTGTAGGTACTCGAACTTTGCCAACTTCAATGCCCATCTGGCTAGACTTCTGTTGCTCTTTTTGGTTTTTGATAGAATCCATCCAGCATAGTGCGTGGTGGTCTGTTAAAGTTTTCACTGGTATACCGAAGATTAAATGTCTTAGATAGCTTAGGGCCCATACTACACCTGATATAGCTCTAACTCGCTTATCGAACAATTTTTCTCGTTATTTGATAGACTTCGACTTAAATATAGGCTCAGGCTATTGGATGTACATCTCCTCCATCGTCCTCTTGCAATAGCACTGCCAATCCCACATTGCTGCATCTGTGTGTAGAATAATATTACCATGCAGAGAAATACATTTTATTTTTTCGATGAAAACCGTCTGTCAGATTGAAAGGAATCAAGTGATAGGTATAAAGCTTAGAAATGATTGGGGATTTCAAGAATAATTTTTATTTTAAGAGAAATCATAGTGGAGTACTATCAATTTCTGCCAATTTTTTTTATTTTTATTATTATTGTGAGCAATATAAAGCGGTCTAAACGGATAAGCCTATTGCAATTATAAAATGTTTTTTCTTTGTACGTGTGAGTTCAGTTGGATTATCTTTATATGCATTGACAATATTTAGGCATTAGGGATTAAGGTTACATGTAGTCGGTAAGTTGATTTCTTTAAGGGGGTGTGACCTAAAAATGAAAGTTTTAGAGCCAAAAAATCTAAGAATAAATATTTTAGGGAGAACAAACTATCGATAGGAATATCGATACTATCGAATTTTTTTTTATTTTCGATAGTATCGATAGTTCTGTACCAATATCGATAGTTCCAAAGTAGCCAAAGGTGAATGAAGACGTCTGTAAATTGAGGGAAATATAAATAAATCTGTAGTTGTTTTGAGAAATCTGTAATTATTTTTTTGGGGTAGACATGCAAAATAGGTTCGTTTTTTTTTTTATAGGTTAGAGTAGAGCCTAGTTTACGTTGTATTTAGAGTTTTTGAGTCTTTTTTTCTCAAATAAAAAAATATACCTTTATTTTTTGATTAATTTATACCAGTTATACCAGAGCAAACTATCGATAGTACAATCGATAGTTACTATCGATGGATAAGCCATTTTATCGATATCACTATCGATAGTTTTTTTTTCGATAGTTTGGCAACCCTAAAATATTTAAACCGCATCTTGCTACGATGGTCCGTTTTCGAGTTACGGCGGTTTGAAGCTACAACAAGGCGTTTGTGACGTCACACTGGATTATCAGGGACAGTATTAACACGAGTAAGAATCTTCCAAAACAAAAGACAATAATCTCCTAGAGCGAATTGCAACCACTCAAAGTATAGGGTACGGTTCACTGGCAACTAAACGAACAGAAGATTGCGATTTCGGCGGTTGTGACATCATAAGCTCCTTCATAATTTATCTTCACAAGGAATTTTCTCGGAGACTATTTTGAATATAGGACTGCGGTTTTCACGAGAGATCTTAGAATTTTTTTCTTGATTTAAGTAGCTTAAGTCGTTTTTTAGGGTCACACCCCCTTTAAGTTGTCCATTTCTTTATCCAGGCGTCGACAGTTGGTGCATTTACAGTAGATTCCTGAAGGCTGTTCCATCTGTATTCAACTCTATTGCTCAAAAAGTTCTTTTTCGAAAGCAGATCAGGATCTTTCTTTGTTGAGTTTCTTTGAGTGGTAGGTAGTTCTCGTGTATGGGAAATTTGGAAGAGTGCCAGTTCGATTTTTAGGCTGAAATAATAATTAGTACTTTGAAGCAGGGTTGGCAAATATCATGATATTTATATAAATATCCAAATATCCGATATATATCGGATATATATCAAAATTTCAGGGGTGACAAATATCATGATATTTATATAAATATCCAATTATCCGATATATATCGGATATATATCAAAATTTGGATATTTATTTATATTTTTAATTATAAGAAATCTACAACTTAGGGCGGGTATTATAAAACTATTTTGACAGAATAATTAGAAGTCAACTTCTGGAATAACGTTTCTTCTCATAGTATTCCAGAAGTTAACTTTAAGGTATCTGTCAAAATAGTTTCATGATACCCGCCCTAAAAACCTAATATTTCTTATACCTATACACAAATAAAAATAAATAAAATCGCTGTGATTTCTTTCTCATAAATAAAATAATAAAACTATGAAATAGAAAAAAAAGGCCATACAAATACATATTATTGATATATATCAAGATATTTATAGCATAAATATCATGATATTTATCAAGATATTTATCACTGATATAATATATCCTGCCAACCCTGCAAAATTTGGATATTTATTTATATTTTCAATTACTTGAATTAGTTCATCTTAGTGAATGCAATACCGGGATCCCGAAATACCGGGATCCCGCCGCCATATGCGGGACTGATCTCGCTCATAAACTGGGCGGGATCCCGCCGGGATTTGCGGGATTGAAAAGAACTGTACTTATGGTGTCACTCGGGCCTGGTACGCGCGAACTGGACTACGGATCGTGGTGAGGAGACTGAGAGAAACTTTCTCGCCCTAATTCGAAGTTGTTTACTATTTTTTAATTTTGGCAGTTTTGTTCCAACTTTTAATAAGGACATGTAGGGGTCGCAGTGCAACAAATTCTTAATTTTGGTTAAGTAAACAAAATTTACTCTTTTAAGTAGGTATTCAAGTTTAAATAATTATCATTATGTTAGAAACTGTAGCTCTGTTCCAACCGGTATGAGAACCATTCTAGAACGGTAATTTCCAGTTGATCAATACATTTGTCAAGTAGGATGAACTCATTGAAAAATAGGTGGGCAACGGGAAATTACTGGTTCTGGAATGGTTCTCATGTCGGTTGGAACAGACCTACAATTTCCAACATAATGATGACTTGAGAAGGTGAATTTTGTTAATCTTCAGAAATCAGAATACAAGTTGTGTAAATGAATAATTAAAACGACAGGACGTTTGCGCAGTTATTTCCAAAATAATATTTAAATATCTTCTGACTTGTTATGTTAATCTTCTAATAATAATGTTTAAATATCTTTGAAAAACATTATTGAATAATTTGATACTTGATATTTGTTCAATTTTAGTCAAAACCCTTTAAATCTGGTACTATATTTATGATTTATTTGCAAAGTCACACAGGATTCTGCGGGATCCCGCAAATACCTGGATCCCGCAGGATTGGAAATGTCCAGTCCCGCAAATACCGGGACTGGAATTATCTTGCGGGATTGCATTCCCTAGTTCGTCTGTTTTCTGTTATCTATATTATTAAAATTCAAAATAACTATGGTAAATTTAATAAAATGTTACGAACATGCAAAGTTGGTATGGCGATAACAAGTTTTAGTGCTCCTATCTCCTATACATAATATGTATAAGAATCTAAAGTGTAGTAGGTAAATAAAAATTTGAGTTAAAGAATATGAAAACGTTTATGTCATTTATACTACTTATGTTTGCCTTAAGACGAGGTTCAACAACAACAAAAAAATGACAACTCTGAACTCAACAACCAAAAGAAAACTACAACTTAGGGTGGATATTATAAAACTATTTTGACAGAATAACTAGAAGTTAACTTCTGGAATGACGGTACTTCAAATAGTAATTCCAGGAGTTAACATTTAGTTATCTGTCAAAATAGTTTCATAATACCCGCCCTAAAAACCCTGATATTTCTTATACACAAATAAAAATAAATAAAATAATAATTGATAAATGACGTAATTTAGACTGTTTTGGCCGAAATCCCTGTCATTTCCTCAGTCGTTAAACTTCTCAACATAAAATAATAAAACTATAAAATAAGAAAAGAAGGCCAAACAATTAATGTTGATATATATCATGATATTTATAGCATAAATATCATGATATTTATAGCATAAATATCATGATATCTATCAAGATATATATCAGGATATTTATCGCTGATATATATCCTGCCAACCCTGCTTTGAAGGTTTCAATGAGATCACCTCTTTCTCGCCTTTCTCTTAATGTACTAATAGGCAGGTAAAATTCCGTACAAACGTCAGTGGTGGAAAGTTAAAAAAATGTGTTAGGTACATTATAAAATGCCTCTTGTTGATACGTAGTAAAACTTTTATCACCCTGTATCTCAAAAGTTAAGACGTTTAGGACGACATATGTTCATGTGAAGTTTTGTTCTTAGGATGGACTTAAAAATGGCCCCCTGAAATATTGACATTCAATTATAAAACACCTTGTATACGTACATATTTTTTAGGTACATTTTTACATAAAATGCCAGTATATTCAATTTGTACTAAGTATATAATAGGAAAAACGTGCATCCATGCTAACAGCCACTTGACTGGATATTTCGTATTTCTTATGTCGCACCAAGCACATGAATATCAGCTTTAGCCAATAAGAGGTAGTTTTCACTCACGTGATTTTATGTTTAAATTTGCTATTTTAATTTTTTAATTTATTTAATAATCTTACAAAAATCTTGCAAAATATTGTTCATTCTCCGTTGCATTCATGTATCTATGTCAAAAAATATCATAATTTACCATAATATTTCCGGCATGTGAAAGTGGCTTATTAGAACTGTAAAATTTACGCATAATGTGTAGTAGTAAAGTATATAGTTCAAAAATACAGAACAAAGCAAAAATAAACGTTTTAGGGCGGGTAGTATAAAACTACTTTGAGAATTAACTTAAAGTTAACTTCTGAAAATACATGTAATTCAAAAAGTTAACTTCAAGTTAACTGTCAAAGCAGTTTTATAATACCCGCCCTTAATAAGACAAACAATTGAATCAAAATAAATAATTATTTTGATTGTCGGATGCCCAGATACATGCATGCATAAATGAAAAAATACTTATTCGCCCAAAATTAAACACAAATTTTAAAAATACTCATTTAATTGCCTCTGTCAACATTCATTTTCCCTAAATAAATTACAAAAAAAAGTATGTACTATCTAACAAAATAAATTTAATTAATTAACAAACAAAAAATGATGAATTCAAAAAAACTAATTAAAAAAATAAGTCTTAAGGCCCCATTTATTCATCTTCAGATAAACTTGCTGGTAACTATCTGCAAGATAAGTTAACTGTTCTATTATTCTGTTGGTTGGCAGATAACTGACCGACCAATGGGATTACAGATTGCGTTTTTATCCGTCAGATTGCATACTGACAGTTTATCCGAAAATGAATAAACCAGCACTAAATCCAACATTTAAAAAATATATATAAATTTTAAAACAATATACAACCTTTTAGGATGAAATATGTAACTATGTAAATAAATAGGAAAGTTTAACATAGGAAGACCATCATCAGTTCATATAAAATAAAAAAACTGTGTTAAGAGAGCGATTTTTGAAGTTCAAATATGTCTTTCATAGGCTTTAAATTTTTTTTAATTAAATTTATTTAATTGTATCCTAAAAATCACCACACAATTTATTTTTGTAAATTAAATGCAATCACAATAAGAAATCATTTTTTTTAAAAATAAGGCTCAGGAAAGCATATTATCTCTACACACAAAATACTCAAAGGAATCACAAGATTTGAAAAAAAAAAATATATGTATATTAATAATTAAGATTTGATCTAAACCTATTTTACTTTTGTAAAATGAACATCCAGCATACACTTTCAATATAAATTGCATTGTTTCCTATTTTTTGTTAAGATACCAAATGAATAACAATCAAATTCCTGAATTTGTTTAATAGAATTTCTTAGCTTGGCTGTCCTTGTTGTCCCTAAAAAAATCAATAGATAATTGTTGATGTATTGTATATATTGTGAGTGAAAAGTCCCCTTGAAACCAAAAATAGAAAATGCGTTTTTCAAAAATATAAAAATTATATTGTGTAGATTATTAAGCCAAAAGACAAAAAATCCCTCACCTGTAAATATTATATCCTAAAATAATCATCAGTTGCACAGCAACAATAACCAACACAGTGGTCACAGATACACAACTAACATTGGGACAGTTGCTTTGCGTTCCCAATTGACTGGCTACCTGAGCTACATTAGTCTTGACATGATTGAGGCCATCTCTCATTTCGTTTATCAGCGCCTGAGTGTCGTAGCCTACAGCCTGTACTTGAGCTGTAGGGGCGCGCGCTTGATTATTAATCACTGTATCGATTCTTTGTTTAACTTCCAATATAAATTGTCTCAACTCCCCTACAGCTGTTTGTACTTGGTTTTGATTATTGAACATGGCATCGACTTCGTGTCTTCTTATGCTATCTACATAACCACCTGCAGGAGGCTGTTGTCCAGGTGGTGGAGGAGGAATGTTGCTTCCAATAGCACCAGCTTGTTGAGAAACAAGACTCATAGTTCGCTCTTGTTTGCCAACAACTTCATCCAATTTTCGGTTTAATTCCTTAATGATTTCGTAAATTTGATTTTGCCCTTGGAAAATTTGCCTCAATTCACGTTGATTGTCCGATTCATACCAATCCTCTAATTCAGGTTCTTTCTCATTAGGATGTTCCTTCCTGTATTCCTCTTTTTGCAGTTCAAGTTTCTTTTGATAATCGGTATATTCTTGTTGTAATTTTTGTTGTTCTTCATTTAAACCACCTTGACCCGGAGATGTAGTACTTGGTGCTCCATAGCTACTAGTTAAAAAGTGAATCACATCATGATCGTCTGCTAATCCTCCAGTAGCAGCTGACAATCCAAAGTATCCACCTTTTGGTAGTACAACGTTTTCGGCACGGAAACATAGCTCGTAATCTTGCTCATTATTACTCATACCATTATGGAACAATAAAGTTAAAACATTGTTGTAATAATCAATTTTCGCTCTTGTCGGGAATGGTTTGTTACGGAAATCTCTCAGACAACCGGCTAATTGTTGAGTGGTACCATCATTATGATGATCAAATAATGTATTGCCGTCGTTCAAAATGGCGTAAATATAAGGATTATTGTGCTTATTGTCGTTGTCGAAAGAATCGAAGAAGATACCAAGTCCATTCCATTTATCTGAGGAACCGAAAACTTCTCCATCGTAATCGCCTTTCTTTGAGACGTACCAAAATGCCTAAAAAAAATATGTATACATTAACTTATTTGTTGCAAATAAATAGAAGATAATTTGTACGAATTAGGGCCAATGTATATGTGATAGTAAAGTAATGTTATACAGTTTAAGTCTACTCTGAACGCAGAGCTACCTATACAAAATAGAGCATGAAACTTCCATGAATATAATATTCGTTCAAGACAGGACTATAACATACAGTCAGTTGAAACGAAACAACTTAAAAAAAATCCTCATTCTATGTATGTCTCCACAAGTTTATTCCCCTTCCCGAAGCAATAAAAAATGAACCCAGTTTGAGAGTTTTTAATGGAGACGTTTGTACATTCTTAAGGAGAACAATTATTAACTCTACAAGGGTGTGACAGTAGACAGCCACTTAAATCAGACACAGATCCCACATCATCACATATTGTGTGTCTAACCGAACACTGACTGAATGTGTCAAAAGATGTTGTGTTGTTATAAATATTTTTAATTTATATGTTTTAGCTATTTATATGCCTCCTGTAGGATGCTTTGACACTTTTTTATGCAAATTTGATAGGCTTCTAAGAATATTCGATAAACAAAATCATGTTGTGCTGGCTGAGACTTCAATGTGCATTTTGACACCCCTCAAAGAGAAGCATTCCTACTATGTGATTTTTTGAAATATTTAAAAGCTATGGCTTTGAACACAAAATTGCAGAGCCCAATAAATTTGTTTGGACAATGTTTTCATAAATTTCACTCCCAATGTCTTGAACGCTCAGTCAAATTAATTTGAACTTTCGGACCACAAAACTCAGTTATCAACATTTGAATTAAATTTAAATCACAATTTTATACAATCTGAACTTAGACAGTTCAGACCGCTCACTCAAACTGGTATGTTTAATTTTTGTAATCAAGTTGAAGCTTGCTCATTTGACTTTGTTGATGATGATACCCTGGACGTATCAACCAAATTTGTTAAGTTGATAGGAATACTAGAGAAGTTTTACTTGGATTCCTTTCCATTAAATTCGTTTAAAAGTAAAACCAATGAACCTGGTATTGGCTCCTGGTTTGATAAGAGTTTAAGGATAATGCGTGATCTATCAACATGGCTAAAATAGCATATTATAATGATAAAGTCCGTTCATAAAGTCTATAGACTTTTTCGAGTGCGTGATCTGAGATTTTGGATGCTGATTGGCCAAAATTAGGGGGTGAACTTGGGCAACCAGCTCAATTTAAACAATTACCCCAAGGCCTTATTGTTTTGGGGCCTCACTAGCCAATCAGCGTCCAAAATATCAGATCACGCACTCGAAAAAGTCTATAGACTTTATGAACGGACTATAACATAATTTTGTCAGCTAAAAATCCAGTAAAAGCAATGTGGAAAATTATAAATAAATCAAGAAATGCGGACTCTTGCAGAGGTAATTCGTTCAGTTACCTCACCTTCTGGTTTCAATAACTGCTTTTGCAGAATTGCACATGATCTCCCTAGCAAGATCGGTCCGAGTGAACTTAGTCCATCACAAAACCTAAAACACATGGTTCCTCAACTTGATATTTTTAATTTTTCTCTTGTCTCTTCCAATGAAGTTGATAGACAACATTGGAAATAAGGCCAGCTATGATATTTTTGGTTCGAGCATCAAATTGATTAAATCCACTAAAAACATTATAATCAGACCTTAAAGCAGATTAATCAATTCCTGTTTTCGCCAGAATGTTTTTCCTAATTTCCTAAAGAAGGCTCTTTTATGTAGGCACATGTTTTTAAAAAGGGTAACAAAAATAGAGCTACAAATTACAGGACCATCTCACTTTTGCCAGTATTATCAAAAATTGTTGAAAAGTGCATGTTATTGAGGTTTTTGAAGTTCTTCAAGGAGAAAGGGTGCTTTACTGAGAGTTAGTTTGGTTTTCGAGCAGGCAGGTGTACTACATTGGGTATATAAAATCTCATCATATTCTGGTGTTTTTTGACAATCTCTAATATAAGGCTGTTCTTCTGTGTGACTTAATCAAAGCATTTGACGGTATACTATAATTTTAGCATACATTTCCTATTTGAAAAACAGATCCCAAACTGTCAGGGTGGGTGGGGCTGTTTTGCAGAAAGGGTTGTAAATAATGGTGCCTCAAAAGTATATCCTAAGGCCGATACAATTCCTAATCTGTGTAAATCATCTTTATTTTAACAATGATCGAAAAAATACACCATTTTTGCAGTTTCCATGTCAGCGGGATCCTCGGCGACATCGGTTGATCAGGCTGTCCTACAACTTGAAGCTACACAGGATAGGGTGAAGGACTGGTTTAACGCAGCTTCTCATGAATGAAGACAAAACAGAGAAATTGATTTTCTCCCTCAGAGACTCCAGAGGTGTAAATCAAGATGGGAGGAAAGTTCGATTTCTTGGAGTATCCACTCTTAAGGGTCATTTACATCCACTTAACGTATGGAAAATTATAATTAACATACGAAACTGAGAAGGTGCGTGTTTAAATCAATGACCTCTCTCATAGTCTCTCAGATAATGTGGTGAAAACTTCGTATCATGCTATATTCCCGAGTATATTCCGCTTTGGGAACTTATTTTCTTATTTTATTTTTTTGTCTCATGGTATTTTAATTGTCTTATGTCTAAAGGTAAACTGGTGAATGTCTGATCTTGACGAAGATGTTATGTTTTAATTATAAATATTGTGTATAAATTGTATGATCTTATTACTGTGCTACTCGCTGCTCTACTACTTTTTGACGAATGTAAGTACTACTTATGTATATTAACATGAATAGAGTATTGAGTATACATAGAAAGTAGTATTTATTTTTGTACCCACCATAATTTTTCTGTAAATACTTGTATTAAAACTAGCCAAGTGCTAAATAAAGATCTATTTATTTTATTTATTTAAGTCACTATAGCCTGTCTGTCTGGACCTCTGGCCGTCAAAGACTTTTAGTGTAAGACAGAAACGCCACTGAAACTTTTCGAGTCATACTTATTTGGATCACAGAGAACAAAGTGTCTTGGCTGAAAATAGCCTAAGGGAGGTAAAAACATCAAATTTTGGTTACATAGAAAGGGACATACCCAGGGTTCAATATTGGGACCACTGCTTCACTTAATATATACAAGTAATGATGTTGTATGAGAAAATGAAGTGGTACCTTTTGCCGACGACATTCCTGTACTGTTGTAATAAAAATAAAACTAAATAAATAAATAAATAAATAAAAACGAATGTGTCACAAATTTCCCAGGAATCACTTGAAAGTCTTTAAAATTGGTTCAGAAACAACAATCTCCAACTTAATGTGGCAAAAACACAAATTATAAATTCTGGACTGGCGTGCACATATTGCTTGCTTGCAGCAAGCATGAGTAAATACTTTTACGCCCTAAGGCCTAAAGGTTCTCAGCAGGCTGCTGGCAGCTCGGCAGTGCTAACAGCTTGTCAAGATTACACCCATGTTATTATTATTATATAGCATTTATTGTAATTTTTCACATTCAATATACAGGTCTGGACAGTTATAATAAATACCAAATATACCCCACAAGAGTGGGAAGTTATCCTATCCAGTATTTGACTATTTGAAGTGAAAGGATTACTTAAAACTATAACTACCTAGTTGTTTCAACTAAATTATACTTAAGGTTTGTTTTTGTGATATAGTGAAAAAAGATATAATGAAGGACATGAATAAAAGTAGCATGCAAAGAATAAATCTAACCTAGTTCAAATAATATAAATCAAGGCACCAAAAATAATTTGTAAACTCCTAATCTAGTAGGTATGTGTAATTTCAGCTCTAGAAATGATTGTTTGAAATGTCTTTCCGATGGATTTTTGAAAATTGTTAGTGAGATACGGTGTAATTATTTGGGGTAGTGTCTCAGAGTCGGAAAGAATTCTCAGGCTTCAGAAAAGGTGCTTAGGAACAATAGGGTAGTGGACAAGGTATAATTTCAATGAAATCGATGATCTATTCTTCATCTATGAAGTAAATAAAAAAAAATCGTATTAAAAGAAATTTCAGAAAAAATTATTAACTTGTTGTAAAACTAGAGTTTTGGGACGCACTATTTAAACGAAAATATTTCGCGCCTTGATTTTACGTCATAGCTGCTGTATTGAAGTATAAATTAAATTGAACATAATTCCGACATTCGATACAAACTTATTCATTAGTGCAAAAGAGATAGATATATTAACGTCTGTCGGGTACAATGAACTATAACCAAAGACTGGAATGCGAACACATATTGACGAACGTGAAGCCTAGTGCGCTGCTGCGGAGGGGATACCTGTTTTTGTCGCACTCATTAAGTTAAATGGCGGAAATTGCTTCCAACACGTTTTCCAATTGATGAAACCTGTGAAGGTAAATATGACAAAACTTTCGAAAACGTCATATGTCAGCAAGCAACAGAAAAAAACAACATTCTCCTTTGTGGCATCTGTCTTTCATGGCTACATTTTTTTGGCAGATATGGCAATGTGTGCGCATTCCAGTTTTTGGCTATAGTTCATTGGTCGGGTATCATTACATCTAGGCGCACCCTCAACATAACCCCACTTTTTGAGAAATTTTCATTTTTCAATCAGAGCAGTCTGAGTTTATCTGCATCTTTTTCTAATAGCATGTAAAATTATTTTTGTTTTCTAAAATCAATGAATCATCAATTACTATTTATTTTGTTATGGAGAATAATAATTAAAAAAAAAAAATCAAAAAATTGTCCACTACCCTATTTATCCAAAAAAAGTACCGAAAGTTGTAAAAATATTTTCATTGAGAGTAGTGTGCAAACAATGTTTAATATTATCTAAATCTCAGAGTGCATAAAAATTATATCAGACAACCCAGATGTTTTTGACCAATTAGAAACAGACCACTGCCATGATATTAGGTTTAAAGAAAACTTAAAAACAGAAACCGCTCATTATACTGATACATTGCAATAAAGAACGCTCTGAAGAACGTTAAGCATAGCATTCTGAGGGCT